GTTTTTCGTAGGAAAACAGAAAATGTGGTGTCATACAAGGATCATTTTGGGTCCAGTTCTTATTATTTTGGAACAGTTACATAAAACTAAAAGTAACGCTGGTGGCTGGGTGACTTACATTGCAAATATCAACACTGATGAAACATGTCAACATGGTGTTTTAATATCTAGCCCAAGGGGAATATCTAACCCTAACTGTAGATTGTTACACTTTGCCAATGTAAATGTTATGTGTGCATGTGACAATCAATTACCCTTTATTGATTAACAGAGCTAAAGAAACAGCCTGCATAATTTTTGAGTTTATTGAGTTTATATTGGGAAATCCGCTCACCAACGAGTGAGACACTCAACAAGCTATATTGGAGTATTGGCCAATTGATAGGGGATCCGAGGTACACACGATTTGAACGTCCTTATCTGAGACTGAAGACGTGAAAGTCTAATCGTACATTTACTCATGTCAATGTAAATGTAGCAATTTCTCCTCAATTATTTTGGCGACACCACATGTGCTGGTACTGCCGGCTACGTAAAAGTTCTCTAGATAAATTTAAAACTATTGAACTCCTAAAACACAGGGAAAAATTTTGAAAATCCATAGAAGGTCATAGAATGGAGATTGTATGGACCTTTATTGGAAATAGAATGGATTTTGGTTATCCATAATAATTGTATATTTTCATAGTATGGATATAGTATCGAAATAGGATGGATATACTATGGATTTAGTGATGCAATTGCAAATTTCGTAGTATGGATTTCACTTTTTTCCCCCCAGTGAAACTGAGGAGCTAAGCCTAAGTCTACGAAACTTATTTGTTCTAAATGTCGCTCATGACAATATCATATAAAGAACTATCATGCAACATAAACAACTATCGACATATTTTCGTTACACAATCTTCCGCCTATCACGAAAATCCCCGCTTAATAATCACACTCGACAAACATTTTCGCAAAGATTTAGTCAGCACTCAGACCGACATGACGCACTGCTAAACATACAATCTGTATTGATAATTCAAAGTACTGAATGAAGTGACATCAACGAGGGTGGCCCCACTTGTCGGAATGATTACAATATTGAGTCAAATTCTAGTAATTAGAGAAGATCATTGGGTTTGGCTTAGATAAACAAAACATGGCGTTCCCAAGGGATCACCCATGGTCCCGTTTTCTTTTAAAGCATTAAGTTTCGTTCAGCGAAGTTCTATTCCAAATTGAAACAAAATATGTGTGAAAAGGTTAAAATATCACATTTTAACAACAGAAAACTTCAGTATAATTAATTATGACAGTCAGGTCAATATCACTGCTGTTAATTCAGTAATTGATTTACGTCTGCATGGTATAATATTTTTCTCATAGCCAGCTATTTGCGAAAATGTGCTAAGGGAACAAATTCAATATAATTCACAAAATGATTCATAGCAAAGAGCCACGATCATATGAAATCGGACAGAGTTCGATTGCTACTGAAATTTCTGTCACCTGACAAACGTGGCAAGCTTCAGTTCGGACCCTGAACTTGCGTTTATCAAATGCTTTTAAAAAAATGTGGAAAATGTTGCATGTACAATTACGGCATTACGCGTGCAGCATAAACAAAGTACCGACTTGACTGATGTACGTCTTCAAAACACGATTTTGTATGACCGACAGATAAGTCTGATTCTTTATAGGATCAGCTCCCAGTTTGGGATTCTCGCCAATAAAATCTGTGTGAAAAAATGCCATCTTCTTCAATCTTGTTACTCATGAATGTTTATAAGGATCCCCCAAGACCACATTTATTTGCATGTTTCTTTGTTCAAAAACCTGAATCCTGTTATCTTACACCAATGTTACACACTGAACTACCTCAACCGAAGTCGATATATACAAATTAGTAATACACACAATTGAATTCGAGAGATTATTTTGGGAAGAATTAACTCTATTACAGAAGGATGTAGGAATTAACATTATTACAGTAAGAAAAGCTCTGGAATTAACTTAAAATAATAATTCCTAGTCTCGCCAACCGATGGTGCAATGTACTGATTTTAAAATTTAAATCAAATTTTATTAAAACTCTGTATAGCTTTATCAGTTCTAATCTGTTCTAGTAAGGAAATTAAATGAAAGCAACTCCCCACTGCCTTTTAAAGTGACTGGCCGAAATCTCTAAAGTAATGACTAATGGTTAAAATGTTGTAAAAATTAACCATTCCATTTTTGGTAAAATATAAGCAACATTTTCAGGCTGAGGATTGTAAGATTTTGAAGTCAAACACTGCGTTCAGTCTGGAAAATGTTACTGTATTTGGTAAATTGGATGCAGGATTAAAAACCGCAAAATGCCGCCTTGGCATTTTTCACCTTTTTGAGTTGAGTACGATTCCCGCTGCAGATTAACTTTTCTCCTCATTCCTATGGGAGAAGAGAGCGTTGAACTATACCAAACACGATTCTCCCTTGTACAGTAAGGGATGTCCTTCACTGGACCTTTATGGCGAACAGTTTAGAACCGATAAAGCAATCTAGTATAAATAAGATTAGTTGAGTTGAGTTGTGAAATGGTCTGTGAATACTCAGGATAAAGTTTATGCCCGCTTGTAGGCTTCCAATTCAGTATGAACTAAAACCGCCCGAAGTTTATATAGACGGAGATTGCGGTCAGGAAAATTGCAGTCCAAATATTTTAAATGTGTTAATGTTAAGATGTGTAGTCACAGTCAGAAGGATTAGCTCGGAATTTCTTACAAAATCTTCCGTTCGTCGGATTAGAGAAAGGATTTAGTTTCGCTTCGCTGTTTCTAAAAGATGCCGGACAGAGTAAGAGCCTTAAGCTGGTCTAGGATCAAACTCGCGGTCTAAGGATGAAGTGAGCCCACCTCGGGTGTTCGTGTGTCTGTAGAGAGCTTGCTTGGTGAGATATTTATCAAATGAAAACCAAACAAGACACGCCCAAACGGGGTCTTCCCAATCACTCGCGAACATGGCCTTAGATGGTAAAGGACTGGACTCGTTGTCTAATGGACTCATTGTGAACGAAACGTTGAACTGTGGTGTAGGTATGTCCGGCCTAACATTTATCAAAATAAACAGTATAGTTTCACAATCTCATGTTCTGTTCCAACATCCTCATCCCCAGATTGTATAGGTTTCACCAAAAGTGTCTCAGTCTGTGTCAGTACTGAATGTCTTTTTATAAGTGCTAATGTGTAATCTTCGAACAAATTATATCGGCAGTGTTATCAATATTACACTTTAACTATAGACGGGCTTTAAAGAAGAAGGCCATATCTTCAAGCCACCGTGTAATGTTCTGTTTATTATATAGTCCCAAGCAAAAAAAAAGCAAATTGGAAAAAGTCACGTGATCGATATCTTCACTAGTGAATGTGATATGGAAAATATCTCACTGTGTATTTTCAGTATCTCACTCTCTACAATATAATAAACTTTCGTATATATTGGCAAAAAATAAACCAAATAAAAAATAAAAATTTCTCATACAAAGCGTTTATTTTTGTCAACATTGCGATTTAAACGAGGTCGGAAACGAACAGCATGCCTATTTAATGCCGTGCAATAATACAAGGTTTATTTTATCTATACTAAGCTTAACCAAATAAACCACTTGTTTTGTTCTTTTAATAATCATGACTTGTTTATGTATGTTATTGAATACTATAATGAAAGACCGTGGGGACATTGGTAGCAAGTTTTGCTTCTATGTCCTAACAAAATTTTGATCAATTATAACTAGTATTTTTAATCTATTCTCTCTCCAGATTTAATATGTTTTGTATTCTATGTAGCAGCATTGGTAGTTCTGTTTGAATAAAGTGTGCTTGTGGTCTACATCTTTTAGTATCTCCCAACAGCAAGCTAATTAGCGATATCAATTCCTCAGACTCCACGCGCGCACAGTCCAGGTTTTACTGCACACGAAGTGAGCGCAAACAATCTTATCTTAACTAACCACATTTCTCGTTGTTGTCTGTCTCCGGGGCGGGCTATAATCACGCACATTTGCGACACTCGGGGCAAGCTGGCCAGCCCGCGCAAACGCGCAACAAATTTTAAACGCCAGCTAGTCTCTACACTCGCGTCCTATAGGCTTTAAACGGTGCGCATCAGTCAGTCGGTGCGCGCTAGACAAAACCAAACACGCTGTCACCTGCTAGTGTCGTTTATAAGTTTAGCATATACCCGGCATTCACACTTGCCTAAATGTTAGACAAACAAGAACATAATTGCCAGATTTTAATAAGCATACACGATTTGGCGCCTTGCAGACGGTGTATAGACAATTAAGCTTGATTTAATGAAATTTGCTTTTGGATAAATGCGTTGGTTTACAATGAAATTGGGGGTGGAAATAATAGCATTAAGCTGATCAAAGTTTTTTAATATTTTTGTAGATTTTTTTCGAGAGTTCGATTTGCGAATTTGCAATGTAGACATTATAGACTGTTGATAGACGAACTCTAAACTCGTTTTATAACGTCCTTGTCAACGTTGACGGATTACGTGAGAATGAAAGGAAATCCCAAAGTACATGCTTTCCGACGTGTAACAAAGCGCAGATTTAAAGCGAGATATCTTCGTCACATAGTTGAGATAAGCTCGCACTTTATAATCGCCAGTGTCAGTTGACGCGCATCATTTCTCACGAACACGTCGAGCTAGCAACATCATCGTGCGTCGTGTCTGCGCGCTTCAAACGGGGACTGAATAAATTTTAGCCACGAGTAATAGTGAGCATTAGCTGTGGACCAAAGCACGGGGATTATATACAGAAATCGGAAAGAGATAAGAGAGCTTACTGGAATTTTAGTACATCGTCTTTCAAAGTAATCTCGACTCAACGACAACTAGAGTTTCCATTAAAAATCAAAGTTTTTACAAATTCTCTCGAGTTCTCGTATAAATTACTCGACCGCGAGAAGGAAACTCAGTGATTGAAAGAATCTTTGAGGATCAATTTATTATCATACAACATCACAATGGCCCACAAGGCAGTATTAGTCTTCGTAATCTTTACGATAACACGAGAAGCGTGTGCGATTTTTTCACTGCTACGACCTGATGGTGGTTCTCGTCGGTCTGGAAAGAATGTTCTACGGCCAGGTAAAGTGGTTTAGCTTCTCTTCCCGTAAACAGGAACGGACCAGGAATGGGCTTGGTCAAACATGAACCACCACGTTCCCACAAAAATTGAACAAGTTTTCAATTATCTTTTAGAATTTGACAGCAGTACTGACCTATTTGTAGGAAACTTTTTACCCGTCTGTCATAAATTTTTCTATTAGTCTATACGGTTATGTATATGATTTAAATAATAACCTAGCTTCCTACCGGCTTTTTTACCTGAAATAATGTAACAGTTAAAGTTGAAGGAACAATGGCTCGAAATGTCGTTTTATATATTCCAGGCTGTTAGAAACAAGCTCGCGAGTACTGCTCACATAGCTACATATAAAATAAGTTTTAATATTATTAGTTCAGCAAAAAATCAACATAAAGAACTATAGTATGCGAGAATTTCAACTATGTCTATCGCCACATTAAATGAACATGCAGTTTAAAATTAGATTCTCTATAAATACAGGCTCATATTTGGCGATTCCTTTCACTATAGGTACCAGGATAAAGTGCGAAAACGAAGGAGAGGAGATCAGTTTGCCTTTTCCATTGCGTTTGCGGTGCACGAAATGCACTTGCGAGGTATGTTTCATACTTTTAGGTTAAAAATAGTCGTGGTACTTGAGACCAAACCCACTTACTCGAATAACCCACTTCAAACAAATTATAGTAAAGTATTTGTTGAGGAAAACACTCGATACTTCGCGTTGACTTGTTTTAGCACTCGTGAAGTTTAGCATGCCTGTAGGGGGTAAATGCTTTACGCAGCGCCCGAGCGTTTATAGGCCAAGCCAGCCATCAAATGTGAATGTATATATTCTATATAGCAAGTGAATCGCTCGTGTTAGGGTAAACATATAATTGTTATATCGCGTGCGGTAATCATCGCTTGTTTATGTATACATTGCAAATAATTTATGGATTTTTAATGTCCAAACAACTATCTACACGATTGATAATGGGTTAATTGCTCTATTTTACATAAAATGCATACAAGATTTTGCTAGCTCTTCATTCTAACACTTCTAGAAGTTTCGCATCTTTTAGCAAGGGTAAAATTTATACGAATTATAAAGAAAATAGCAGCCAAGCTAGTTATATATCTCCAAAATAACAGTACACGCGTATACACATGCATGGGCATTGCCACCGTTGACAAACTTACCGAAATAGGGCTTTGCTGAACAAATATAGGGATTAGAATCAGGTCAATATAACGCCATAAACGGAAACCATGGGTAAACATACAAGCGGAAAATTGCATTCCAATGTAACTTGTGTATTTAAACAAGTTAATATACAACTGCGTTGATATGTACCTGTAAACGTTACTGGACTTCTAAGGAGAACAATTTAGAATTGATTGCGCTATCAATAGCTGACTACCGATACAGCGACCTTAGCTGTTCTTAATGCTTTCCCAACACTATCATGTATTTTATTTAAGTTAAAACATATAGTTAGAACATTCACCAAACCTTTATTTTGTTAATCTAGAGCTTGAAATGTTCCCTGTACTAACGCACGACTGCAAAAATAGCTAGCCTATATCCTACACTGTTTTATACGCACATATATCCACACGCACATCAATCGTAAGCAAACCCTTTCCTGTTTAACATTTATGGTAAAATTCTTAGCAACTTCCGAGCGAACTCTTTATGTGAGCTTAGAGTTGTGTCATCCAATTTACACCATTAGAGTTGCAGTACTGGTGCGGCTGATCACGTCGCGTTAGTTTTAAAGTCCAACACATTTTATAAGCTTAAATGTAAACCGTCATCGACAGGTTGTTGTCCACTTAAAGTATTCACGAAGCCAAAACTTACGCCAAAACTATGTATGCGCTTTATGAATTATACGAGTCATTCATGCAAGACAGAAAGGAATGTAATATATTATTGTTCTATTGACTAATGTACAAATTTGTACAACTAAACTAGAGACTGTTATTTTTACAATATAACTTTAACAACACGCATGATTATCTGAACAGGTCTTGCAATGAGAAATATATGTATGCAATAGCCATTATAAACCATTAATCATTATATATATTGCCTGCGAAAACAACTGTCCGAAATAGAGCGCTCTGCTTTTGGACATAACTTTTAATATGTATAATAAATAAAAGATATAGATTAACATATACAGTATAGCTGTTCCCTTTATGTTCCCTCCAGATTGGGAAGATTCTACACATGTTTTGATAGTTTGAATATTTTTGCGCCTGTTATGTGCGGACTTGGCTTATATTTCATTATGTCAAGTCATCTTCTATTCACGCCTGTTATTTTTCAGTCTATGCCAAGTTTATCTTAAGAGATCGCGTGTTTATTTTCTGCCTGACCACTTACTAGATATTATATTTCGTGAATAATTGACCTTTGCCTGTTTATACTAGATTTCATCAACTAGTAATAAGACAACGTTGAGTGCGTATTGACAAAATCCTTAATTTTCATAGAACGCGCATTATCACAGCCCAAATTGGATCTAAAGTACACTAAACTAACTTTATTTACTTTGCAAACATTATCTCTTCAAAAGTATACACACATACTAAACATTGTACCACCAAGACTCTAACATAAATTTGTTTACTGCTTCATAAGTGAAGAGCTAGGAGTGGACTTTTTTTTTAGTTTTGGCACTTAAATCATTGATTTTAATCCACTTTTGGGCAATAACAAACACCTCGTTTTTCATCGAACTACTCGGCTTTTCAACCCTTCCCCGCGCGTATATTATGTTACCTCGTATAGCTGCATTAGTTTTTTGAAGGTCAAGTGATAGAAAACGTCTAGCATTCTTCGTGAAGAAACGAATAATATTCATTCTGGATCGCTCTATCTGTTGTAAACTGCAATATGTTCTCCGGTGTAAAACGTCCTGGGGTCGGTTATTCAAACCTGGGTTAGCACTAACCCTCGGTTAAAAGTTAAACCTGTTGTTCTAGTTTATATATTTCTGCACGTCTGTTTATTTAAAAACTTGAGAGAGATAAACTCCTACAGTGATCCATACAAACTTTCTGAAGAAATATTGAAAATATTTATAAACAAGTTGTTAGGAAGGGCGGGGCCACAGGTTCGATGCCTGCTAGAGAGCCTATATAGGCTGTACTATATATATAGTTTCATTTTTCGCAACTGTTCTTGGTAATATGATTTTTTCTGTGTTGGTGTTGTGTACTCAGGTGAATATGATATTTGTGATGTTACTCTGAGTGTATATCCACACCGGGCGAGCTTGAAAATATGCCCGGCCACGGTGGGAATCGAACCTACGACCTTTGGAATACTAGCCCAATGCTCTGCCAACTGAGCTACGCGGTCAGAACGGTTCGAGTAAGTACACAACACCAACACAGAAAAAATCATATTACTATAGATTACATTGGTATCGAAGGAACTAGATTAGCGTAACTCAGTTGGCAGAGCATTGGGCTAGTATTCCAAAGGTCGTAGGTTCGATTCCCACCGTGGCTGGGCATATTTTTATTGGTTAGGTCTATTAAATGTATAAAAATTCACACTCAAAATTCCCATCTACAAAATCTTCTACAAAAAGTTCTATCGTAAATGCTCATAATCCTGACATGTACTATATACCCCTGGGCAAACAATACCCCCAATACTCTAATACCAATTTAAGCTACTATATATGTCTAGAAAGAGTAACATTGATACAAAAATCAGACAAGATAATCGTATTATTGGCAGTATTATTCCATTAATATAATCCCTGAAGGTCAGGATTTAGGAAAGGTATGAGAGCGTGTATCGTCATTCAAGACCAGGATTACAGCAATTTTGCCTTGAGGGAATTTTGCCCATCTTCAAAACCAAAACGACCCCCAAAGGGTCGCTCTAACCACAGTTAATAGAAGTTGAATTTACAGTATAAGTTTAAAGACATGGAATATCTTAGCAACTGTTATACAGACGTCAATTGCAGAACGTATTTCCTATTCCAGATACTTTTAATAAAATGAGTTTACGTCAGTACAATGTGAAATTGGGAATGTTCCAAGATAGAGGATTATATTTATCGAGAAGAACAAAGCGACTTTATTTTTCCATTGACCATTGGCTTAGGCACCGAAATCTATATTACCTGTAATTTCCGCTATTACAACGCAAGAGAGGTACACATGTTTTTCCAGATCAATATTTTATAAAATAGGTTTTTTTACTTGGAATGTGCCAGATTTTTTAACCGTGTCAATATAGCTTTGGATTTTAAGGGGGCTTAGGGGGGGTGTGGCACAGTGGTTACTACATTGTCTTAATTCACCCCCCTGACTTGGCCTTAGGTTTTCCTGAGTTCCATGAGCGTTGACGCGATACAGGTGGAGTTACCAATCCTGTAAACTGAGCCAATTGTTCAGACAAGCTTGAATTATTGAGCTTGAAAATTCCCGCTTATCTTTATGCCAGAAAACAACTCATATCTCAAATTTCGTACACACAATTTTTCCAGAACAAAGATTTATCGTTCATGAAGAGACGTTGATAAACGTTGATAGTTATTATAATAATAATGAGTCATCAACTCACTGAACTCAGATTGGCCGAAGTTTGTGTTATCTGTCAAAAACGCTCCAAATACTGTTAATGATATTCTATTGTTCGCGTTCTTCCAACATGGCGGCCATGACGTCACGTGAAACCAATAATACCTAAACAGTTAAGCGTTTAAAAAATGCTGACAAACGATTTCGGCACCGTCTAACACGTGCTGTTTGTCAGAACATTCCACTCTGTTCACTGACGCAAAACGAAATATTTTTGAAGTCATATTTAACAGGGGAACACCCCTTTTATCATTCATCTTTCATGAATGGTGTTTATCGCATGTAATTACTGCGCGCAATTTGAATATTTGGTTCAGAGGGCGTCGTGGACTCGCGGTTTTACTACCCACTGACATATATGGAAAGTATGAAAATATTTAAAACATGGGGGTCACACTTTTGGTTGTATGCTACAATAAGCTGCCGTGGTTTGTGTTTGAACTACGGCTGAAAAGGTCACACTACCTTCTGGAGCATCTTCAGACGAAGAGATTTCGCTCGAAACGTCTAATTAAAGTGTTTTAATCTTTCCGGTGAATCAGACACAACACACGGCAGCTTAGAGTATGTCTTTTAGTATTTCGCCGAAATATCTAAATCTTGTGAAAAATGTGATGATAAATTAAGAGATGAATCGATCGCAAAAATTCGATTACACACCCACGCTTGATCAAATGCTAGTACAGGGTGAAAAAGAATCACGTTGCTTAAATTGCGCATGCATCAGCACTTTACTTCAAGTTCTGTACATTATAACATCACTCCCAATCCCTAGCTGTCCCTGCATGATCTAAGCAGTCCCGCGGATTAACAGCAACCTGCTAATCCTTCAGGCCACCTGTGCAACACATAGTCATATTACTCATATAGATTAAATTAAATACGAGATAACCCATAATCTATTATGTCCCGAATAGAATTTTTGAATGCCAATGACACTGCGGATTTTTTCGATAAAAATTCCTTGCAACAAAGTCGGCAAGGTGTTAATAAAACCAATTATTACAACACTGAGAACTATTTTGCTTAATCAAACCTAATCAATCATATTGAAAATACAAATATTTATTAATATTATTGATAAGATTTCTTGTTGATGTTATCCGATATGGGCTGCCCATATTTCGCGATAATGCGCGGTTTCCTATTTCCTCAAATATATATGTTTTATAAAACTACCCTTCCTTCCGAAATACACAAATTCACATGATATTTTCTAAACAGCAAACCCATAGTTTTACTATGTCCCAAACCACAAATTTGGAAGTCAGCGCACATTCGTTCATTTTCTCACATTGCAATTCGTATGGGATTCGTCTGCGGTTTCACGCATTCCGTGATAATTACGCTCTAAATATAGATAAAATTGGCTCTGAGATCAGTAAATCTTGTATTATTAGTCTTATTATTGTACCGCATTTTATAGCGTCGCTCGTTTCCAACTTAGTCAGTAAATCACAAAGTTGACAAATTCGTTTATCGTATAAAACAATGCTATATCGAACAGCTTCAACTGAGGTAATTTGTGGGCTGAAATTCTGAGCTTTGTAACAGCTTGACGGTGTTAAATTAAACATTACTAATGTCAGAAATATAATTTTCCAATTCAAAATCATGCATATTTAAAAAGGTTCCGAATATGGGAAATGCCGCTTTGCTCTTGCCCAAAATTAGCAATTTTCTAAAACATGCTTAGAAATTTTAAATTTAACTCCTGCCTGTTTTGGTTTAAACGATACGTTTCAAGTGTCAAATGAACAATAGGCATGGCACTAGACAATCTAAATACTATCAGGCATTGTACAATTAAGTCTTTTGTCAAACCGACGCCAGTGCGCAGTTGTGAAAAAGTTTCGCATACTGAAGCAAGCTAGAGCTAGGCTAGAGCCATGTCTTCGAAAAGAGCGTTGTTTGTGCTCCTGATTTTAATTGCATCTTTTTCTGCAATTCAGGGTAGCGTTGTGGAATGCAAGAGGAAGGAATGTCCTACGATGGAGCATTGTACTGGAATCGTGGTGCAAAAACCAAACACATGTTGTCAGGAATGCCAGGGTATGTACGGAAAAGGGTCTTTCTTGATAACGCTATTCTAGTGATAACGGTATCTGCTGAAAATAAACCTCGTAATTACTTTAATCAGCGCGCGGAAAATTCGTATAATTACATACTTAAGGGAATGCATCGTAAACTGATAAGCGAAGCCGTCAATTAACGGGAGAGCGGTTCGGTGTATGAGGGAAGGCATGACATGTAATAAACATGGTTAGGGCTTCGAGTGCTGAGGTAACGATGATTTGTCGAAGGGCGCAACTACCTGAAGCATATTATCGAAGTTCCTCGCTCAAAATGTCGACGTATTTTCGAATATTTTTCAATTATGATTGCATGCATACTTGAACGGACCTCGTGAATTATGTTAAGCATGGCAGCTAGGATTCTTGGCATGTATTACTTATTCCTGCTGTAAACGACAAGGCAAACACAGTAAGAACAACTTGCCTAACAGCAGTCTAATGTAACCGAATAAACAGCAGTTCTCGTTATATGATTATATTATAAAAGCAGGTTCAAATCAGCCATACATGTTGGTTCCAACATAATCCTACATCAGTTATTAGATACAATATCGTTGCGTTTTGAACGCCGTATGTTTGCTAATGTTCAAAGATGTTGGACCAGTTTTGACCAAAATTTTCAGTCAAAATCCTCCAACATTGAATGACGCTCGAGTGGTTTGGACGAGCCTTAAATATAGGCATTGCATGCAGGAAATGTTGAATTACAATATACACAAACAATATACAAATATTGCCCACAATGTGGTGCTAAAACGGCAACATTTCTATAACGCAGAAGCGATAATCCGTTAAGACGATAGTATAGGAAAAGGATTAAATATTCTTATACAAACAGAGCCGTCTGTGCGATGGGGTGACCCAATACAACGCGAATTCCTTAAATGCAAGCGTATCTTTCTGAACCGAAAAAGGCAAAATTAGCATTGAATTTTACAGCACAATGCGCGGTTGATAGACTAGATATTGAATAACGTTCGTGTCCTTATATGTACTGTTTTTTGTCCTTTACAGAAGGCGGCCATTGCCTATATCAGGACATTGAATATAAGGTGAGTCCTATGGACTTATTAGGCGCCGCTCGCAAGAGACCAGGACGAAATCAGTGTTGGAAAATTTCGCTTCAGTCGCCATTGTGTTATCTAAACGAAAGCCAGAGTGCGCTGATTTCGTTTGGTGATACTGTTGTACTGTATCTAGTTGCTGTTTGCAATAGCACGCAGTGTAATGTGTTGGGTTTTTCTCATGAATAGAGACAACACTATGGGTCTTAAATTCTATGATTGAAATGAAAATCCCATGTCCAAAAATCATGCCCAGCTATAAATCATGTAAACATGCAGTGACTATACTGGTCTCGTACAAAATTTAATTACATATATATATCTTGTTATTTTAATCTATCGATATATCAAAGTCAGTTTATATATACAAAATTTTAATACTGCATGCTTTATCATTTGCCGCGTTTATTCAGCATTGTGCGAGATAAGACAGCCTGACTATCTGATAATTGTTTGCAATGCACCCAGCGGAGATAGTATGTTGTATCTGAATGTTTAGAAAAGACGGAACGGCAGGAGGCCAGGGACTCACATCATTACTTTGTTACGCTGATTATAAAATGTTGCAATCTTTGTAACATTTTGAGAGTAGCAACGTTACAGATCTGTTCCCTGTTTTCCTCTGATTCGAGTGTGAATTTTATAAATTTATAAGACCTATAACCAGGCAAGAATCGAATCTGCGAATCAAAAACTTTGTTCTTCTGAGATGCCCGGTGATTAGAACTGTAAGCATGTGCAGTTGTAAGGAGAACCGAGATTCGAGAACAGTTTCAGAATACAGAGCCGAGCTATATTCCGGCAAGTTTATTAGTCGCAAGCCATAATAGTTCGTTCAAGTTGAATCTTATGTATAAGCTTTGGAATTCTATCCCATTGGCACGCCGTCATCAAGTTTACTTGAACAGTATGTGTGTTTTATTTATTTATCAAGTAAACAACTTGTGTTTACAAGCTTGACAAGGTGTTGTTAAATTGCTAACAATTTAAGCGCCGCGTCGTCTGGGTCTAGGTTATGTTTTCGATTGCCGCTGTTTTCAATTTTTTGGCGCTCGAGATCGGAACAACATATAGATCGGGCGAAAGACTGGAGTGAACTCTAGAGGAACATTATGAGAACGTTGACTGACTCTTCTCACAAAAGTAACGCAGCGAGAATGGAAGCTGGGATCTCCGAGCCCGAGGTGAAAGGCGGCTTGCTCTGCCGACTGCGTCAGGGAAACCCCAAACATAACACTAAGCGTAATAACACTAAACAGATGTCTAAATAAGTGTATTTATTTCTAGGATGGAGACACGTGGCTTGGTCACAATTGTATGAAATGCTCGTGCAATAAAGGCGTAAAGAGATGCGAACGTCAAGTCTGTGAAAAGCATCTCCAATGTCCACAGGTAAACAAACGACTCATCCAAGGACATTCGATTTAAGTTGATCTAGAAACTTTACAAGTTTTCGGTATGTGTCTTCGTTTTCACATAGTCCAGTTTCTTGGAACTGAATCTATGACGTCATATGCAGGGTAAAAATGTCGAAATTCTGAAAACTCCTGACTCAACGAAATCCGAACTTTCTTTTAATAGGGAATGAAGAGAGGTTTGAAGCCCGGGGCTTGTTGTGAAACTTGTGTCGAAGGTATGTCCTTAATGTATTGTAGGCATGTAGCGCTTGAATATGTTCCAACAATTAACGTCAGGAATATTTCAAAACACTAACCTGTAAGCAAGTACTTCACACAGGAATGATTTAAATTAACCATTGGAAATATGACTAGCATCTGTACTTCGGTCTAGAAAAGAAAGAAGAAATTAAAAGATGTTGAAATCAATAAAATATGGGGGGGGGGGAGATTGGGTTGCCAACGCACAGTATGACCATAGTTTAACCTCTTTGCTTATAATTTCATGCAATATAATACCAATGCTGTCGTGGTTAAAAAAATTAATGTTGCATCTTTGCCACACAGTTCAGCTATCATTCAAATCCTTTCAGACTCTATTGGAGGATTGGTCCTACCCCCCCACACACACACACCCTCTACCGCCCTTGTGTCCGACACTACAATCGAGGGTAACATCAAGGAAATATTTCTCACTTTCTCCAAGCATCATTCATATTCTGTTATCATTTTTACAGAAACGGGGATGTGGGGGGAGTCCCCCTCCCCGCCCCCAGTTTCCAACATTGCAATTGAGGGTAACATCAAGGAAATATTTCTCACTTTCTCCAAGCATCATCCATATTCTGTTATCATTTTTACAGAAACGGGGATATGGGGGGCGTCCCCCCCTCCCCGCCCCTAATTTCCGACACTGTAATTGAGGATAACATCAAGGAAATATCTTTCTCAACCTGTCCACACAACATTCATAATGTTTTATCATTTTTGCAGAAACGGGAATGTGTACATCATTTGGTGACCCACACTACCAAACGTTCGACAACCGCATGTACAACTTTCAAGGCAAATGCAAATACATCTTCGCCAAGGATTGCGCAACCAATAACTTCACGATACAAGTTCGCAACGAGGGACGGCACTCGCGTACGTTTTCCTGGACAAAATCAGTATTTCTTCACTACAACGGCATCGAGGTGGCCCTGCTCCAGAATTTACGAGTCAAAGTAAACGGGGCATTGGTTAGTCTGCCTTATTACAAGCAGTCCGACTTGTACATTGCCGAGAATGGGTATCTGACGACCGTTACCACAGGAATTGGCGTGCAAGTTATTTGGGATGGTGACAGTTACACCGAAGTTCATGTTCCGAAACGATACCAGAATAAGACATGCGGGTTTTGTGGCAATTTTAATGGTGATCCTGATGATGATTTTAAAACACCAGATGGAGAGGTAATTATAATAATAATAATGACTATAGAGTACTCGGAGACTGTACCCTTATCCCTACGAGAATTTGTCCCACGGTAAATTACCCTGGAATAATTATCTCATTTAGTTAGAGACAAATATTTCGAGAAATCAGGCTGTACAGTTTATTTTTGGTATCGTGGTCACACATACCGCTTTTCGGTATATATGAAGACGCTCATACACTCATTTAAATATTTAGAGAATTAAGGCTGTATAGTTCTATTTTTGGTACTGTATTTATATTTAAATAAACGTTCGTATATATTCACAATTGAGGGATTTCCGGGAAGAGGAGGTATGTGTTCTCTCACTTCTCTATAAGCCCAAGGAGCAGTACAGTTCTCGTAACTATATTATACTAAAACCTACCACCTTCCTTTAATATTACCCCACCACTCTCCCGCCCAATTAAAATTTAACTGATTTTCTTAAATTGTCATAAACAAACTATATGCAACGTTCTTCATCAGGTAAAAGTTAGCACGAGAGAGTTTGCAGTAAGTTGGCAAGTAAGGAACAACCGAATGTCCGCTTGTGATGCACAAGAGATGGCCAGGGTCGAACAGTACCCACCTCTTTGCAGAGGAGAGAAACTCATGCATGCAAGGAAAAAGTGTTCTGTGTTGAAAAACTCCAAGTTCGCAAAATGTCATGACGTGGTGGACCCCAGACCGAATTTCCAATCGTGTGTCAATGATATGTGTCACTGCATACGATCACAAGTACGCACATGCCTGTGTCAGAGTCTCACGGCTTATGCCAGAAAGTGTAAGCAGCAAGGATTAACAGTGGAATGGAGGTCAACAACTATTTGTGGTAAGGACAACATCCTATATCACTGGAAAAATTTTTGAAAATCCATACAAGGCCATAGAATGGAAATACTTTATTGGAAATAGAATGAATTTTGATTATCCATAATAATTGTAAAAAAAAGGTCGTCAAGTCTAGATCAACACTGGATTAGGGTTAGATTAAGATTAGATTAGGGTTAGGATCAGGATTAGAGTTTCCCCTATAGATAGATGATTATCATCTATTTGTCTACTTGTGCACATTTGACAATTGATTGATCTATTTATCCCGGAGACTGTGTTGGGATATACTATAGATTTAGTGGTGCAATTGCAAATTTCATAGTATGGATTTCACATTTTCTCCCCAATGTATAGTGTAGACCAACTATCTCTTTCAAAGTCAATGCTTGTCGTGCGCTCTACAGAATATTAGTTTACTTTATCCAGTTTTTCACTCATTGGCCAGCGGATTTCCCAACAGGCCAATTGATAGGGGATCCGAGGTACCTACGATTTAACGTCCTTATCCGAGAAGACGCGAAAGTCTATAACCATTTACTGGTGTCAATGTACAGGGTGTATCAAAATCAACGCAATTCATCTTTTGTGCTTAATAACGTTCGAAATACTATTTCTAGTTAAACGCTTTTAGGCTTACTTCAAAGCCTGTTCTTTTCTCTTTCAAACAAACTATTATCCTTGTCTCCAACGCTAGTAATAATTGCACAGGAAAAGATTTAGTAAAACCTATCACGTTTAGTTGCTGTTTAATTATGCAAGTTTACTATGTTATTGTTTAGTCGGTTTAAATGTTAGAATTTTCTTCTTTAAACTTTAATGTTGTCGTCACTACATCTGGAAAACCACGTAAGAACAAATTAAAAGTATTTTAAAAGAGACCAGGTTGTTTGAAAATCCTAAACGAATGCTAAAAATCGTCAAAACATTCTTGTGTCTGAGCCAGAGTGTCATCGAATTGCGATGTAATGTAAACAGAAATTATAGCAAGTTGATGTCAGTCAGCTTAGATGGTCCGAGCCAAAATTATATCGCATTTGAAGTTTAAAACTGAGTTAAAAATAGTGGAAGAAAAGCCGTAATTATACTTATTGTTACAATCCATTTAATAAAATGCATCGATGTTCGAAATCATAGCACAATTACAATTCGTTCCATGTGTATATCAGGGCGTATTTGGCTCATTTTCGTTCTTGTATACAATATTTCATACAAATTCATGAGTTCTTTTTCGTTCTTTCAACAAAACAAGCTTTTGTAATATTTAGACATTTTTTTATTTAGACGTTTGATCGATGTAACACCCTTGGAATATGCCAGGTATGACATTCCTTCAGGAATATATTGGACGATCTGCAGGATGGTGTTATTGATTATATCAGGAAAATGGTTAACGAAGGGAAAGAAATAAGATGGACATTTGATAACTTCGACTTCAGAATCTTAACCAACATCATCAGTGGTTATAAGAATTTGGACATGCACTGGATATGTCAATACATCACGTTCGACCGAGTACCTTCTTCCCACTTGGATGACTCCAAACCATTGGTTGAAGATATATCCAAATTTGAGAACAAGGAGTATTTTTGTCTAAAAGAAAATGCAGAATATGCGATACGAGAATATAGTGCTGATTAGCCGGATTCTGGTTGACTTTTTTCCTTGTTTGAAAGTTCTAAAAAAGGTTGTTCCTTTACATATCGAACATGCATTCTCTAAGGAAATGGCCTAAAAATCCGAAGTCATCAACATGCTAGTGCTTCCATTCAACAAAAATAAAAGTCAGACAAATGCAAGTACATGGAGTATGTCACTGACTTTTTGTACGATGTCTATCGGGATACAAATGATGATGACATAACAGAGCCAGATGATCCTGATGAGACGCCATTGTCAGCCGAGACCGCAGTTAAAAAGTCTGAGGTGTTACAAAGCGCAAGGGTTCCACTGGCTGGAGATCTTCTTGGTAGAGAGAGATCGACAGGTGCTAAGAAGACCAGGGCAGGGTGTGATTATTCAAGTGATAGGTTTGAACACAGTTTTTCTTAAGCGTAAGTATATCATTTGGTCAAAGCAAGATAAGTTGAGTTAATATGTGAGCAAATAGGGTTGATAACTTATTTTTGGTCTAATATTTATTGAAGCCTCATTTGAAGTACTTACGTTATATTTTATAACACTTATATAAAATGCCGACAAAGTGCTACCTACTTGCCGCCACCGAACAGTTTTCTCGGTTAACTAAAAACTGTACATCTGAAAATATGTTGCTATTGTTTTATCTTTGTCACAAATTGTTTGCAAATTGTAAAATCCTACGTTTTTAATTGTGTTTTTAGCTGTTGTGTATAATAAATATGTTGTTATACATATATTATTTACTTTATACACTAATTGTTTTTATAATTTTATTCCTTTACAGACGTCATGGAAACTTTTGTATACAACAAAAAGCGCAAGAGATGTTGGCACCATTTTCACCAGAAGTTGGGAAAAAAGAACGTCTACAATGATGCGAAAAAGAATTTCAAGGCGTCTGCCGAGTTGTTGCAAGAAGTGACAAAGGCATATGTCTGCGAAGCATTCATGGAGTAGGCCGGTTTGGATGACATGGATGGAAAGCCATCAACCATCACGATTCCTCATGCTAATACCACCAAAGCGACAAAAAACATTTCATGGAATCTGCCATTGGAAACTTTGTGGATGAATTCATTCTCCCAGATCTGGATGCAGAGAAAGCTATGAAGTTGCAAAGGGAAAGTCTATGTGGAAAAACTGAAACAGGTGAGATGCTGCAAGTTTTTTTTACAGTATATACTCATCCAATTTTGGGACGAGCAGTTGCCCGGCCCCTACACAGTTTATTATTGAACACTATACCTACCCTGAACCATAACGTTTGAGGTCTTATAATAATTGTATGTTTCTCTTACCATTATTATAGATCAACAGTCTAGAACAACTAATGTAGAAAGCACTGGTTCAACAAATCAGAAGGGCACTGTCATTCATGTTGATCCAAAGAATGCTTATAAACAAGGTAAACGATTGTACATGATAAGTTGGGTATATCCATACATGATGGAACAACCTGAAGGTGTAAAAAAAGAACGTTTCGAGCAAAGTTAGCATAGCATGACCCGCCATGACATCTGGATAAAAGGCCTGCACTTGAAACATCCAAGTTCTTTTTTATATTTTTCAGGTGGTTGCATCATATACAGTACACAACTTTGCAGCATGTATTATTTGCAACCTACACTGGCACCCTATAATATTAAAGATTTCAATTATTTGACAAAACGATTATAGATTGCCCTTATTACGTTTTATAGTGGTATCACTGATAAAAATAGCGGCCTGGAATGAAAATATTGAATGTTTTCGCGAATATTTTGCTGTTGGCTATCGCGCGCCTGACCCTAGCTTTTTTTAAAAGTTCTTGCACGGGTCAGGACAAAAAATAAGCCATTTTGCATGAATATGAGTGATACCACTATAACCACAATGCAAAGAAGCGCTACGAAAACATAATAAGGATAATTAAGTTATAATAGATTGTGTATATTAAATTCACTCTAGACAGGAGCCAAAGAATCAAATGAGTCAAACATTAACAAGGATATAAATTAGCTCTCTTGTTGGTCATATGAGTTATTTTTATCATATTATTAAAATTTAGACGAAACAGTGGTTTTGCTGGGGAGCAATGTAAAGGATCTTGTGAGCATTGGCCAAGCACGAACGTCTACAAACAGAGATAAAGCAACAATTAATGACAGCACGGAATGTTGCAAAATTAAAATCACTGCTATTGTCAATGCAAATTACAGAGGAACTTAGAAACGATCAAGATTTTAGGAAGGGAAACGAGGTTTTTTTGGCCAAAGAAGCTTGTTGGAAGATCAGTTCAAGTTGTTGCTGTAAGTCAACCTCTGCCAACAGATCTCAACCAAACACCAACTTCTCAACCACAAATTCTTCCTGCTGAAGACTTAAAGAGCAAAGACCACATAATGAACTATGCAGTTCAGGTCATGCAAATGGGAATATTCTTCATGCAACTTAATGACACAGAACATGAAGGCGACGGAGAAAGAATGATGAGAAATTGGAAATTGCTCATGTTGTATGCAAGATGCTCGGGAAAATGTTAAAAATACGCTTTCAAAGCAATGCAACTGATCAAGTACTGCAGAGCACTATATGCGGAGAAAATGGCACAGAGTCATTCATGGGCAGTGTGTAAATCCGTTGGGTGGAGTGGGAAGAAATTATGCAAATGACGTCAAGCAAGAACATTTGGTAAAATGCAACAAAGTTATTTTACAAGGACTATGTGGCAATAAAACATTGAAAGCTGTCACCAGGGCCACTCAAAGTGCATATAATGTCAAAAAAATAACCGAAAATTTTGACCATCAGTCTAACATAACACCCATAAATATCTGACCCTAGCTGGTTGAATATATCAAACCGTGGTTGATTTATAGTTCCTTCATAAGATCGGAAGAAATCCAAAAATATTATTTGTGAAAATATAGTTTAGGATTACTCTAAAACTGACAGAATATCTGACATTTAGCCAACAGATTTGACTTTATTTGCGATATTTTTACATGAATTGGGGACGTTTTGACTTGGGCACGTTTTGACTTGAGTTGGGGACGTTTTGACCTGGGGACGTTTTGACTGAAAAGCAAACTCGCATCTGCCTATATTTACCAAATTGCACTCAAAACCATACTATTACCTATAATACCAATTAGTTGATGTCTAGTATGTAATGAATGTTTCCATTTCTTAGATAATCCTAAAATTCATGCATCTGCAGTCTGGGATCAGCGGGATAACAATCATATAAAATAACTTACATTGGAATCAACTCATCATTACACCAAATCCATTGAGTTTGTGTACCAAACTCATGATGAAAATTTTTTAATGATATCAAAAATAACTTTTGCATTTTCTCTGCTAAAAACAGATAAAATGTGTTCAACAGCCTCAATGGACACCAATTGTTCACACTGTTCTACAGTCTTATCAACCAAGTCTGGTGTAAAGCCGGTAGCCAGAGACATACCCCCAATGCATGATGGACCAAAGTACAACATTTTCATGTATTCCTCAAGAGCTTTGCATATTCCATTCTTCTGTTCACTGCCTATTGACAATAGATCCGTACCGGTATCTTCTGCACAATCACCAGATAAAAATGTTTGTTTCATGGATGTACTTTGTACCTGAAGTGAGAGACCACTTTGAAGACATTCATCACATTCAGACTTAGTAGCATCATTATCACAACATGTATGGATTATGTTTGTGTTTACTTGTGCTAAATTATGTCCAAAATAGTTCAAGATTAATCTTCTCTTGCAACCTTTGCCAGAGACAAGTTCCTTCATTACTGCATCAACAGCATTGTCACCCGATCTTATATCGTAACAGTTATAGTAGATTGTCGCAACAGCTGGTAGACCATCTCGACCTGCACGACCAACTTCTTGAAAGTACTCTTCCATAGTTCGTGGCACACCAATATGAATGACTTGCCTTATAGAAGGTAAGTCCACACAAATGACAAATGCTACTGTGACAAAGAGAACTCAAGCTTTGCATGTATTATTAATGAGTCCATTTATTAATCTGTCCTTTTCATGCTGTGGATATTCAGCATGGTACTGACTAAAAAGTCTGTTCTCACTTTTTGGAGGTGCACCCAATGGAAAATATTGTTTCTTTCCAAGCATATTAGCAAAGAACAGAAAGCCTTCTGCACAAACATTCAGTGTACCATATACAGGAGTTAAAGGCATGTGGAGTTTATTCTCAAGTAACTCCCTACATAATGGCTCTAAAATAGGATGCAGCTTATCTTCACCAGTGGCAGGCCTTTCTTTTGATTGAAAAAAATATTACTGCAGTCAGGATTAACTGATATAACTGTGGGATCTTTCAGCTGCAGTTTATCACATATTGTCTTTTGTGACTTCAATGTGGCAGTAGCTGTGGTTGCAAGGTGAGGAATTTCAGGGAAAATACTGACAAGAACATCAAGCTTGCCATATGCTGGTCTGAATGAATCCCTAAAAATAAAAATTATGACAGACAATAAGGCAGTTTATGCAGCATTAAACATACTGTACCTAGTTTATCATTTTCATTATTTTATTCTTAACCCATTCAGTCGCATGCACCCTGATGCGACCCACTTCATTATTTTGCTGTGTCTAATGCCAGACAACAGAAAAGCACTGGTGCTTAATGGGTTAATTATATAACTATTTATAATAATTATGGCAAATGAAAATTCTCCATCAGTATTAATAGCACTAATGAAGATCCTGGCTTAAGAATGCCCATAGATCTGGGTTTCCTATAAGTTGCAAATTGTTGTAAAAGTATATACAGCTAATTCAATTATGGTTGAACTTCAAAGTCAAAACATCACAACCTCAACCTCTAAGCATGTAAAGCATAATGGATATGCATACACTATTATAACTTAGTTCTGCACTTCACTTGGTGGAATTAATATTAGGATGTTAGGGTTTGTAATCCAAGTGCGAATATATACATTTTAAAACCTAACCAGGAACGACTGCGAAAAATGCAGCACAAAGCCCTGTGAGGGCCGTAGGTTCGATTCCTACCAGAGGACTGTAATATATGCTCATATATAGTAGCTATATATATACATCAATTAGGTTGATTGACAGTTCACATCATAATCACTAGCACATGTAATTGTAATAGGAACCTCAAGGACTCGCTAGAACACCTAGACATAATCAGACGTGTATCTTTTACTTATGAATAAATCTTCTATAAGCACATAGAAGCATTACATGGTGTCAGAAGTGGGATGCCATAAAAAGCAGTAAACATGGCATCAGGAAACCTTCAATGGGTAGCGCCTAAACCTTTGAAATTAGACGGGAACGTCAGTGAAAACTTTCGCAAATTTGAGGAGCACTGGACGCTCTTCGAGAAGACTGAGCTGAAAGGACGGTCTGAAGAGGAAAGATGCTCATACTTTCTTCTATGCATTGGAGAGAAAGGCCGAGAAGTTCACAAGACCTTGACGTTCACAACGCCAGAAACAGAGACAAACCAAGAGGGGGAAACAACGTGGAAGAGAACAACAAACGAGCTAAAATCAGCATTTAAAACCTACTGTAACCCGAGAAAGAACATTACGTTCGAACAACACAAATTCAACATACAGAATCAAGACGAAAACGAAAGCATCGACCAGTATGTGACTGTTTTGCGCACTTTTGCAGCGACATGTGAATTTGAGACACTTCACGATGGGCTAATTCATGACCGGATAGTTTGTGGAATTCGTAACCAAAGTATTAAAGAACGTCTACTTTGTGAATCCGAGTTAACCCTGCAGAAAACCTTGGATATATGCCGAGCATCCGAAGAATCTCGCAAGCAAGTGAAGTCGGTAAGCGATCAGAGTTCCGCCAATGTCGACGCATTGGGGAAAGACCAGCGAAAACACAATTACAGAGGGAATTTTCGCAACCACAACAACAAACCGGAAAACGGAAAACCCCCAAACAAATCCTGCGGTAATTGTGGTCGAGTTCACAAGTCAAAATCTTGCCCTGCATATGGGAAAAAGTGCAATAACTGTCACAAACTAGGACACTTCGCCAAACTATGTCGATCGCAAGCTAAAAACCCAAAGAAATCGGTTCACGATGTAGATTATGAAAGCGACTCCTCGACGCACAATGACGTGACAATGACGAAGAACACGCATCTCTTAAAATTAACAACACGACAATTTGCATAAAACTCGACTCCGGAGCCGAGGCAAACATTCTAACAAAGAAAGATTTCGAAGCCGCTGTTCCAAAATGACAACGTCGTAGCAAGCTCAAAACGAGCACCGCAAAACTGACCGCTTTCGGGGCCATAACATTCCTGTCATCGGAAAATGCTATTTAAAGTGTCAATACAAAGGAGCGACTGAAGTACTCGAGTTTCAAGTGGTCGAGACGGGCAAATCCTTGCTCGGATGTACAAATTGTAAAAGTATGAAACTTATAACATTTCATAACGTAGACGAGCTGTGCAAGCAGCCAATTAACGATGCGTCACCTCAAAGTTCACTAAACAGACTTACAAGTGAACAGATATTCGAGAAATATTCCAAATGCTTTGACGGATTAGGACGCATATCAGACCCTTATCACATTAAGATTAACCCTGATGCAACGCCTGTTGTTCATCCACCTCATAAGCTTCCTTCAGCGTTGAGAGATCGAGTCCAGAACGAACTACAAGAAATGGAATCCAAGGGGAATCATTAAGAAAGTCAACGAGCCCATGGCATGGGTAAACTCTGTGGTAGTTAACGAGAAACGCTCGGCAAAATTACGTATATGCATCAATCCACGAGATCTCAACAAAGCTCTGCGTAGAGAGCATTACCAACTCCCCACACAGCAGGAGATAACAAGCCGCCTGACAGACGCCAAATTCTTCAGTAAACTGGATGCGAACTCTGGATTTTGGCAAATGCCACTTGACGAAGAGAGCTCTTATTTGACGACATTTAATATGCCATTTGGTTGCTATCGCTTTACTGTGATACCATTTGGTGTCGTGTTTGCACAAGAGGTGTTTCATAAAACTGTCAACGAGAAATTTCATGATTTACCCAGATGCGAGACGGACATCGATGATATTTTGATTTGGGGACGAACACTGGAGGAACATCATCAAAACCTTGAACGTGTTCTCAATCAAGTGGCAGATATCAATATGACACTTAGCAAAGACAAATGTCAGTTTTGACAAACCAAGATAACCTATCTGGGAGAAACGCTTACGGCAAATGGTGTCAAGCCTGACGAGACCAAAGTTGAAGCAATCAAGAATTACCCAAACCTACAAACAAACATGACGTCCAACGACTGTTAGGCATGGTCAATTTTATCGCCAAGTTTGCACCGAACATTTCAGACGTCACCGCACCTCTGAGAGAACTCATCAAGAAGAACGTTGCATTCCACTGGCTCGAAACACACGAGAAAGCGTTCCGAGATCTACAGCATTTACTAACTGACCCTGCTACTCTGCGTTACTACGATGTAGCAAAACCAGTGACACTCCAAGTCGACACTTCACAAAAGGTCTTGGAGCTGCTCTAATCCAAAACCAAGGTCCAGTAGCTTACGCATCGAAAGCCATGAACGACACACAACGACGCTACGCACAGATTGAAAAGCAACTGCTGGCTGTTGTTTTCGCCTGCAAAATCATCAGTACGTTTATGGTAAAACATTACTGTCGAAAGCAACCACAAACCTCTGGAAGCTATTCTCAAAAAACCCTTGTCACAAGCACCGAGCTGCCTCCAGAAAATGTTAATGCAGCTACAAGCCTACGACATCAACTTGGTTTACAAGAACGGAAGTGAAATGTACATCGCTGATGCGCTGTCACGTGCATTTCCTCCTGAGATAATACCAGAGCGATTCATCCATCTGATGTCATCCGAGTCTTACGTCACTCACCGGAAACTCCAAGCCATCAAAGATGAAATCCATACAAACGAAACAATGCAACTTTTGGTCAAACAGATACAAGATGGATGGCCAGATCATAAGATACTGGTTCCAAGTGAAGTACAACCGTACTACCCATATCGCCAAGAACTGACAACCGAAGGTGGGCTTATCTACAAGGCCCATAACATCCTCATTCCACCATCATTGCAAGCTGACACTCTCCAAAAACTCCACCAATCACACCAAGGAATTGAGAAGACAAAGAGATTGGCTAGGGAGAGCATATTCTGGCCAGGTATGAATTCCCAGATTGAAGAATTAGTGTCGAACTGTTCCACATGTCTTCATCACACCAGTGCTAACCAACGAGAACCACTTCATCCACATGAAATTCCCAGTCGACCCTGGCAAAAAGTCGGCACTGATCTTTTTGACTGGAATGGAAAACCGCATCTAATAGTCGTTGACTATTACAGCCAATACCCCGAAGTTTCTGAACTTCGAAACACGAAAGCACGGACAGTCATCAACAAGACAAAGTCCATATTCAGTCGACACAGAATCCCAGAAAGTGTAGTCTCCGATAACGGCCCACAGTACTCATCCGAAGAGTACAAACAGTTTGCTAACAACCACAAGTTCATCCATAACACTATCAGCCCGAGATACCCCCAGTCTGGTGGTCTACATGAAAAGACAGTCCAAACAGTCAAGAACCTTGAAAAATGCAAAGTCGCCAATCAAGACCCATATCTCGCGTTGTTAGATTACCGCAACACCCCTATAGATGGCATCACCCCAGCACAAGCCCTAATGAGCAGACGACTCCGCTCACCCCTTCCCATATCCCAAAGAAAGCTTAATCCAAAACCTGTCAACAGAACCACTTTCCACGCAGCATGTCAACAACAGCAACAACAACAGAGAAAACACTATGACCACACTGCTAAGTCTCTGCCACCATTAGAAAAAGGTGATGCAGTGAGATTTAAGAAAGATCCTCAAGCAGCATGGACCCATGGGACGGTGATACAAAAGCACGAAGCACCACAAAGCTACGTAATAAAGAGTGAGAACAGGACGGAATATCGACGGAATCGCAGACATCTACGAAAGACTAGAAAACATCAAGCTGACCTAGACACACCAGATATTGACGATCCCCAAGACCCGATCCCACAACCAACAACCAATGCAGAAAGAAACAGCATCCAAATCCCAATAGCGCCAAACCCACCTCAACTGAAGACAAGCCGTTATGGCAGACGGATAAACCAGAATCCGAACTACAAGACGTGCACAAATGGAGCATGATTGCCATATTGTTTGAATATCTTTACTTAAATATTGAATCGAACACGTAATCCAAAGATAGACTTGATTTCTTAAATAATTCATTTTACGTTATATATAATTTGGTAATAATTACTTTTAATTTAGAAAAAGGGGGATGTAATATATGCTCATATATAGTAGCTATATATATACATCAATTAGGTTGATTGACAGTTCACATCATAATCACTAGCACATGTAATTGTAATAGGAACCTCAAGGACTCGCTAGAACACCTAGACATAATCAGACGTGTATCTTTTACTTATGAATAAATCTTCTATAAGCACATAGAAGCATTACAGACCTTGTGCTGCATTTTTCGCAGTCGTTCCTGGTTAGGTCTTAAAATGTATATATTCTCACTTGGATTACAAACCCTAATATCCTAATACACTATTATGCAACTGATAGTCTGAAAACTACGTAGTTTATACATGGTTGCTACATTTCACATGTGCTTGACTCCTTTGCGGATTAAATTCACTTAATTAGCATAAATGTGCTAACACATATATTGCTTACGAATTAATGCTTTTCGTGCTTAGGAGACAACATCTTGCATTTTTCTTTGGACAACCTTGAGTGAATTAGCTGTACATTGATGTTTAATTGTCTATTAATGACTGACAAGGCTAAAAGAATGTTTACATGGGCCCTACAGAATATAAATAACTGTTCTTTCTTTGGGAGATCTCAAATACTAACCTGAAGCTCCTATTAAAGTTTATATAAGAGCCCTAGCTAGTGAGATATTGTCTGGTAGGTCTGCAAACCTCCCATGTCACTGCACTAGAGAGATTTTCTCATGTCTGAATATATAGGTCTTTCATCACCTTGTTCAATTTCAATTATAGGGCCTGTTTATATAAATTATGGAAGCTGGATTTGGTAAGCATGGTGAATTTCTCTTGTGTTTATATGAGAAAATTTCATCCTGCTTGCCGAGACAATTTGTTGTTTTGATAGTTAAAATTAGCTTGCGGCGGTATCTTTGGCCTTTCATCATGGCAACTGGGCTAACCCACTTGTGAGTGTTTAGAAATTTCCATCCTGGTAAGCAAGATCTCACCTCTTCCAAGCAAGATCTCGGCAACCGGGGCCTGAAACGCAAAGCCATTGGTTGATTCAAACACACAGGAAGTCGATCAATTTTTCAACAAATGAATTGATCAACTCTAAGTAATGAATTGATGCAATATTTTATCAACACTTCCATTGCAGCGACAGTAAAAGTTGCCAATTTGAATTATCAGCATCCACTGATACTGTAGATGACAAGTTATCATCCTTAATTGCTTGAATTTAAATATTGATCATATTGAGGTTGAGGGTGCACATAGACTATAAATAATAGTCTGTATAAAGTAAATTGAATTTATATAATTACTAACACTGACTATTGACCTATAAATTTAATGGATAGGTACAATCTTTGTGTAGGTTGGTGAGAAAAAAGACAGTGCAATTTCATCAATGACTTTTGAATTTCTGTTATTCTGTAGAACTTTTGCATTGCTTACATTTTCCTGGTAGACAAATCATAAATACTTTTAATAAACAAATATTTTAACCATTGTGATTCAACATAGTATTTATACAAATAAGGAAGCTAGCTGCCTTGTACGTTTTTCAAAAACATTTGCCAACCAGAATAGCGTATACAAGGCAGGGGTTTTGTAAATGCACAGAGGAAACACATAGCAATTTAAGACCAAATGGGCTTCATCGACAACCACACATCGCATTCGTTCTTGGTACACAACTGAGTTGAAGAAACCAGTAACTTTCTTTTCGTAAACACATACTTCTGGGTGCATATAAAGCAACAGGAAGGTTGGGTTCGCAAGTTCGTCAAGTGCTAACTTGATATTCAAGTCATCTTTGCCAAATACAACTCCATGTCCTTGAATCATACAAGCAGAAATGCCCCGTTCATTTAGTTTAATGACTTGATCTTGCATGAGTGCATTAAGCGGGGATATCACCAAAACAATTGAGTTCTTAACACCAAGAAAAATGTCATATATGTCTGAAAATAGCTGGTAAAACAGCAACTAACCGGATATCCAAAATTGGATATCCTGTATTCCGTTTCTCCAGAGTCATGCCCAGCACCTAACCTGCGAACGGGCAAAAGACATAACTCATTAAGGTGGGCAAGTTCTGGCAGCAAGTTCTGGTGGCAAGTGTGTGTTTGTATGGGAATTTCAGCATAGCATCTCTTCATTCATAAACTGTTTTCAGTGCGAGTAGCACCGTTTATATCTTGTTGGCAAATATTGCAACAGCTTTGGCGATTTTCTTTGGAGAATTTAGTGAAAAGTTTCAAAGATGTCTCATTCGGTAAGTGATGTTTGTTTTTTGCTTGTGTTTTTCCCCCCTTCAAAATTTACTTGATTTGTATGGGCTTGTACTTATGTTTTCATATTTGTAGATCCTTTAAATGATTTGCAAGTGCGAGAACAAAGCTGTTCTTAACATATTTGAGCAAGCTTTTCAGTTGACAGATGAAGAAAAGGAAGCGATTTAACAGCGACGAATTGCCATTTGAACCAGACAAAATGAAGTTTGCCCTAGCCTAATAGAAAATTGGTCAGCTTCCCAGCGGATTTGTTTCGCCAACGAATGGGCTAATGATCATGGTCTATGTGAGGAATCAGACGCTCCAAGCGAGGTGATTGAAAGCCAGACGAGAGAAGGATCGGTGAGTAGAGATGCGGTTTTTTAATATTTCACACGACATGTTCATACTTTTTTTCTTTATGCTTGTACATATGTTTTCATATTTGTAGATCCTTGAAATGATTTGCGAGTGCAAGAACGAAGCTGCTCTTAACATATTCGAGCAAGCTTTTGAGTTTAATGGACAAAGAAAACGAAACAATTTCACGACGACAAATTGCCATTTGGACCTGGCAAAATGAAGCTAGCCCTAGCCTGATAAAAAGTTGGTTGGCTTCCCAGCGGATTCATTTTGCCAATTAATGGGCTAATGATCATGGTTTATGTGAGGAATTAGACGCTCCAAGTGAGGTGATCAAAAGCCAGACGGGAGAAGGATAACATCCCACAAACGATGATACGATTGAGTTGCCTCCAAAACGACATAGCTGTGCTGAAGAGTATTTTACCATGAAATCTGTGAAACAAGCGAATATTAGGAAATTCCGCACAACAGGTACCGATTTTAATGTTATTCAATAGTCGTCGCTAACAGCAAAATACACAACCATTATTTTGAGAGTCCTGATTTGACAAAGGGTTTCTTATATTTCTAGGTATGACTTTTTTCAATGATACATTTAGACTGCTTGCAGACGTTGACCCTCACCTCAAATCTATAACATCACATAAAACCCAAGACTATTTAGCAAAACTAATCATAGACCTTACCTATTATTCTCATTTGCCCAATGGCCTTTTGTCCATGCTTAGTGCATGTAAAGGTTATGCTTAATTTGCATGAGTTTGTTGTTAAGCTTAAACTCGGTCATAAGCATATATTCTTAACCTTATTGTACACAAATTGCGAATAAATACCCAACACAAAAACGAGGCAATTGAGTGAAAAGTGAAGAATCGGTAAAGTCTATTGTGCTGGGCTTTCTATTAGCTAAGACAATGGTATTGCGTTTATAGGCATTGATTACACCAATTTAATCCCTTGGATGTGCATGGCATATCGAATGTCATGCCCACTTTGCTTTCCGTAGTCTATTTGACCAAATGACCAATGGTATGTCCCCCCAAGATAAGGTTCGATTTATCATGAATTCCTCCCAGTTTGATAGACCCATTTCCCTACCCTCCTTACCTCGAGATCATCTAACCCCCGAACGCTTCCTGGCCACTGTGGAAAGAGTAGTTCAGTCTAACAATCAGTTCACCCTGGACGATTCTCTTAATGTGAATGTCATCCACGTTGAAATGCCCCAAGGTGCCGGTAATGGAAAGAGACATGACATTGTCAACCTAAAAGCCTACCTGAACAAAAAAGCTGCATTGTGCTCGGGCTATTGTCGTGGCGAAAAACAAAGTATGACAACGATCCAGATTATAGGAATATTGTGGACCACCATAGAGCACAGCAAGATCACCTAGCCAATTAACTTTATGAATTTGCCAGTGTTCCCCTGGGACCATGCTCTATCCTAGAGATTAAAAAGTTCACAATGGTCCTCGCTGGATACCAGCTCAATATTGTGTCCAAAGAACATTTAAACGCTCTCATTTACTCAGGTCCACAAGCAGAATATATACCTATACCTTTATCACCATGATAATCACTACGATGTGATCACCAGCATGCCTGCCTTTCTTGCACAGAAGCAGTATTGTCACAGATGCAAGAAAAGGCTTTGATAAAATCACCAACCACCCATGTGGAGACCTATGCAAGTTGTGTAACACACAGAACTGTCCCATTGTTGAGTGGAAACATTGCAGAGACTGAGAGGAATGTTTCAAACGCCATAAAGACGACGACGGTCCAGCCAAAGCGTTATGTCATTCCTTGGTCAAATGTAAGTTGCACGAGCGCGTCGTTACTCGGGTCAGCGCAAATGATCATCACTGCGGCATGGTGAGATGTTTCATGTGGCATAAGTATGCCCGTCCTGAAGGTCACCAATGGTTTCTTCAACCTGTGGAAACAAGACAACCGGCACAAGTACGGCAACAAAACAACCTTCTGGACGATGACATATAGAGGTTGTAGAGCAGGAGTCCAACCTCATGTTTTTCGACTTCAAGTGTATCCGAGTCGAGGGTGTTCACACCCCCAACTTATGCGTCATTCAAAATGAAAGCGGCGATGAAACTTTTTTCTGGCCCTGACACAAGTTCTGTGAGTGGCTATTCCAGCCGCAACATGCAAAAACTACTTTCATTGCACACAATCTGCAGGTGTACGACAGCTATTTTATTCTCCAAAACCTATACAACAAAGGCATCTCTCCCGAACTCATCACCTGTGGTGCAAAAATCCTGTCTTTAACCGTTTCTGAACTAAACATAAAATTCATAGACTCGTTATGTTTTATCAAAATGAAATGTTTTATCAAAATGAAATGAAATATCTGAAATGAAATATATGTATCGGTAAATATCTTGTTGACATCTTTAATAAAGAAAGCAACACGGTGTGGGTGATTCATGGTTGTCTCTGGAATGGGTGCGAGTGATGCTATACTGGGGATATGGTGAATCCAGTTAACCATCTTTCTATGCATGATCTGCGAGAGCACATTAGAGAAAACCCAATACCTTTGCGAGAATGGTTACAACGTCATAGAGATATGGACCTGCGACATCCAATGTGAGCTCAACAATTTCAAAATCTGCGAACCTCTAGAGCCTCAACAAGCATTCTTCGGTGGTTGCCCCAATGCCACACATCTTTACCACGAGGCCAGAGATGACGACAAGATTCACTATGTGGACTTCTGCAGTCTATCCCTGGTGAGTACGTTTCTAATCGCACTAGCGAAAAATTGTATTGCTTACTAACCTTCTCAAGCAATTTTAAGAACATAGAGATGGTCTCTTCAAAGATTACATCAATATATTCCTCAAAATCAAGCAAGAGGTAGGTTTGTAAAAAAAGAAGCTATTCCTGTCCTGCTAATAGTTTCTTAGCTATTATTTTCCTTTTCAGGCAAGTGGTTTTCCAGCAGGATGCGATACAGATGAGAAGGCAGAGTACATTTCTGATTACGCTGCAAAACAGGAAATACAGCTGGATCAAGAGACAGATCATCAAGAATCCTTCAAGACAGATCATCAAGAATCTGGAGACAGATCATCAAGAATCCTTGCCTAACGGCGTTGGCAAAGGTTATGCTCAACTCTTTCTGGGGTATGCATACTATACTGTAACTACTAATGCAATTTCATTATTTCTAGTTTGGGTGAAAAAACCTTTTCACTTTATCGTTTCAGGAAAGTTTGCACAACGTCCCAAGATGGGTAAGGTCAAAATAATTTACTACAAAATAACCTACTGAATACTTTGACCTTTTATCCAGTGACAAAATCAGCATTACTGACGTTAATTTCATCAATGACGAGCTGATCAAGATGCATTATGAAAATGTCAAAGTTTGTGGAGGGTGATGGAAAGACAAATGTAGTTATCGCAGCCTTCACCACAGCCCATGCTCGTCTGAAGCATCTTTGCAGAGTATTGTATTTCGACACAGACTCGTGATCTATGTGTCGAAAGATGGTGAATGGGAACCACCCACAGGTTCATACCTCGGCGACCTGACTGACAAATTAGATGGAGCTCATATTATCACGTTTGCATCCGGTGTGCAAAAAACTACAGTTACGAGATGAACAAGGGGGAAACAGCATGCAAAGTGCGCAGGATAACATTGAACTACAGAACGAAGCAATTTATTAATCACAACGTCGTGTGTGATAATAATATAATGAATATTTATACAGGATAGACACTTCAACAGTAAAAACTGCTGTTATCAATGTGTGTCCTGTGTTTACGCATGCACTAAATATAGATACAAAAAATTAAAGGTAAGATAATATAATATAAATCTATAGAATTAGAGTGTCCATGTTCACAGATTTCTGAAATGTTCATTTTAGCTGTTCTTTAGTTGTTTTGAAGTCTATAAGTAATGAAAACGATAAAATCACCGTTGTGACATTCCTTATAAGATTGTAAGAGACACAAGGGACAAAGTGGTAAAAACTAAAAGTGAAACGAAAGACTGTAGAATTGTATATACTAAGTGTAGAATTGTAAATAGTTTTGATACTTCACCATATGGTTTCTAAATATGATTTATAAGTATTAATGTGCAAATAGTAATATATCATTTGAATGGTATATTGTGTGTGTTTGTGTATGTTGATCAAATTTATAGGGACGTTTGGGGATAAATAGTATCCCCAGGGGGAAATTCCCCTGAATCGGGAACACATATGGGCTAATTTATTCCCCAAAGGGACTTATATTAATGCATGTGTATGGTATGAGGCACTCATTTGATAACATGCCTTGAACACGAAAGTTCTGCCCCATATGCAGAAGAAAAGGATTACTGAAACTATCCAATCATTTAGCTAATGTTCACAAACTCGCCAGTCATCAAAGAATGCCATATTTCATACATGCTAAAAAAAATACCCGCTGACATGGAAACAGTTGTTTCATGATGTATTCCATACAGTTGAGACATCCGTTTGGCTTGCTAGTGTCTGGTGGTACTAAAAGTGGTAAAACTACATTTGTAAAAGACTATTGAGTTACGCGAATGTGTTGATTGAGCCACCACCTGAAAATATCTATTTCTATGCTGAATTTCAAGATATCATTTAGTACCTGGCATAAAATTTACACAAGGCTTGCCAGTTGATATACTGGACAGCGTCAATCCTGAAACACGCAATTTATTTATCAATGATGATATAATGGGCGAGAAGGACAGAGTGATTTCAAAATTATTTATAAAAAAATCGCACCATGGCAATTTGAGTGTAAACTCTATCAGCTCACACACCTTCACAACACATGATACTTTTTCTTCTTTTTCGGCGACTGGCAAACACATCAGATTAGCTATGGCATCATTAATGTTTTCCTCCTTTTCAGAAGAGGAATGCATTTGAAACAGCGACTTCTTACATGTCGAACTTATTTTTCCTTGTATCGTAGCTATCGTTCACAAGGGTTTTCTTGTGGCGAGGTGTTATTCCACTTGGCAAAAAATCAAATTACGTTTGCACTCATTGGTCTCGGCCATTTGCGTTTTTGTATCTTCTTGGTCTTTATCTTGCATAATGGTATTACTTTTTTCAGGTATTAAATCACCTTTAATGTCATAAATAAAGTGTGGTGCAATTGATAATCTTCCTGACACACTTTCTGCATAGAACCGAATTGTCACGATCCAACCCATCAACAAGTAATCCAATACTTTTAAGTACATCTGCCAAAACAATGCCACTACCGTCACCCAATACTTTTGCTGTAAGTTCTTTGTTTTTTGTTACCTTAAACAACGGAACTGTCCCAACACAAGAGCCATATTTAACTTTTAAATTCTCTCTACATAAAGAACACACATGGCTTGAAGCCATATTTACATTTTTTCACGAAATATGTGCAACTTTTTACTTCCGGTTAGCCTGCTCGCAGGTTAAGGGGCTGAAAGCTGTTGAACCAACAATTGTGTCAGGCTTTTCTTTTCTCTCCCTTTCCTCCCCGAAAAGCCTGATCGCAGGTAATGCGTCGCTTTATTTGTACTCGTGGTGCTGTCAAGGAGATATGGAGTGAAAACGGGACCAACTTTGTTGGTGGAGAGGAGATAAGATTGACTATTCAGGGATGGAATCAGAAGACAATAATCGAAGCTTTGCATGAAAGAGGAGTAGAATGGCATTCCCAACAATTGACGAAGTGGCACTTTCAACCTCCTACTGCTAGCCACATGTCAGGAGTGTGGGAAAGAATGATCCAAAGCATTCATAAGACCATCTCAAACTCATTAATAATTCATGAGTAAATTAGCCAACCATATTACTTTATTTTGCTCACATAATAATACCTGATGAAGTACATTGATCCAGTCCTAGGACTGGATCAAAATTAATTCAGTCCTTGGACTGGATCCAAACTAATTAAGTAATGATTTATTTGCATGAGATGTCATTTCAAATCCGACTATGAGGACTGGATTAGATTTCAAGTCCTCACATTTTGAATCAAATTGCATGGACTTGAAATCTAGTCCAGTCCTCATAGTCGGATTTGAAATATTACATGAAGGCCATTATTGGGCATCTGCACTCCTTTGTCAAGCATGAGACGCTGCATACAGTGTTCACAGAAGCAGCTGGTATCCTCAACAGCCAACCTCTTTGTCCGAACGATTGTGAACCAATCATGCCAAGTCATTTCTTACAACAACAGCAAGGTCTCACAGTACCTCCTGGTTCATTTCAAGACACAGAAATCCATTCTCGAAAGCAGTGGCGCAGAGGACAAGTTCTGGCCAACCACTTCTGGGCGCGTTGGATTTGTTAATATCTCCCTTTTGCAAGAAAGAAAGAAGTGGATGACGAAGAAATCAAATTTGAGAGTAAATGATCTGGTGCTTTTGGTGGATATGACTCAGCCTCGGACACTTGCATCTTGGACGAGTAACCAAGGTCTTCAGAGCGGATGGTTTGGTACGTACGGCAGAAGTAAAGACAAAGATATCGACTTTGGTGAGGCCAATTTCTAAGTTGTGCTTATTAGAGGAAGCAATTTAAACAGTAGAACCATAACTCTTATATATATATATATATATATTTGAACATTTCATAATGACCTTCCAACGGGGGGACTATGTTGAGGCTAGCTCAACACTTCCGATCAGTAATCGAAGTTTAGCGAGTTTTCGATGAACATAAAACGTTTTTTGTTTCGAAGGATTATATTTGGACTTTAATAGTAAAAACTAGCTTTAATACGGGATTTATCGACATTCGGTAAGACATTTAAAGTTTAATAATGTATTTCTGTCCTTTATGTGAGCATTTGTTATGTAAGAACTCTAAATTGTTTGTAACTTAGTATACATTTAGTGTATTTTATGTATTTTCATATTTTGTTAGAATAAAACAAAGTCAGACAGAAATGTCAATTGTCACATTCGAGACGATATTAAATTACAAGCAAAGAAAGCGTATAGGCTTGAAGCACCTATGCATAAATCAAATGGGTTTTTCGGGTTCTTCACCATAAAGTTTTTGTCATACAATGCTCTCATTAGTTTCATTCACGTCAATGGGTTTCACAACAACAACAACAACAACTTATTTCGCACCACCAAGTAAAATAACATTACATGATTTTTTTTTAACTCATTAACTGGCAAGCTGTGGGTGAGATCAATTAAGCGACGCAAGAATGCCCTGCCGGGAATGATGACAGAACATGCAAAATTTAAAAGGCCAATTAAAGATTGAATTTCCCGTAAGGTAATCTTCTTACGCTTTTGAAAATCAGAAATAAGGTCAACACATTTTCTCAATTTTTCCAAAGGTAAACGGGCCTGAAATCTGATTGTGTCTAACTCAATACCTGCAAAACAAAGCGTGGTTGAAGGACCACATGTTTTTTCCGGTGCCATGGGCAATCCAATAAAAGCGCAAAAATCGAGAAAACATTCTAACCGAACTGCAGAGGTGTCATAAGATGGTGATATAAGGAGAAAATCATCAAGTAAATGTAAAATAGAATCGATGAGACGTTTTTGTTGAGCAATCCACTGTATATCCGTACTAAAAATTTCAAATCTTTTACACGAGCTGGCTGCCCCCATAGGAAGGCATCGATCATAATAATACATGCCCTGCCATTTCATACCCAGTAAATAGTGGTCCTCTGGTCGAATAGGAATAATACGGAACACATTTTTAATGTCTGTTTTCGCAAGAAAACAGCCCTTCCCGTTGGATTTGATTAAACGTATTGCATCAGCCACGGTGGCATGATGCACACTAGTATCCTCAGAACCAATGCCATCATTGACTGAAGATCCTCGTGGGAAAGATAAATGATGGATGAATCGAAATTCACCAGGAGACTTTTTAGGCACAAGACCCAAGGGGGAAACTCGGAACGGATGAAATGGCATGGCATGAAAAGGTCCAGCGATTCTGCCAGTGACTAATTCTTTATAGAGTTTTTGAGTAACAACGTTTTGGTGCGCTAATGCTGAAGTCAAATTTTACCCTCAGTTTGGTTAATGAAGCCGTGAAAATGTAACACAACCGTAAGGTACTGGTTCAAGATTGCAACCTTCTCATTAAATTTGGGAGAAGAGGCCCGATTGGTTACCAAACACACGCCGACAACTCTGACGGATGGAACTCCGAGCAACATGCGCACTAGATCGTCAATTCTCGATCCCACAGTTTCGGGTTTTCCCAAGGTTAAGTCATTTGTCCCAACCTCTAAAATAACAATGTTGGGCTGAAACTGGGTAACCATGTTGAAATCAAATTGAACTAATTTGTCAACAGTCCTCCCCCCAACACCATGCAGTTTGATAGCTACATTGTGCATGTTAAAATTTAGGGCAGCGCGAACATCGAATTTGGATCTTAAATCCCGATGCATGCACTTCACAAAGGAATGACCAAATACCAGTACCTTTGGGTTGGATAAAGCCATAATAGAAGAGAATAATAGGTGAAAGAATGATTGTGTAAAAAAGAAATGTATCGCTAACCTGAAAATAGGACCAAAATGATGTTGAAGATAAATTCTGAGTTCTTCACTTGACCACTGATATTGGAGACTTGCAAAATATCTAAGTTATCTTGGTTTAATACCAAGAGATCGACCTTGATCTTGGCGCAGCTGTTACGTAGTTTCAAGTGCTCTAAATTACCTCCCTCTTCAACAGGCGCGCCAGGGATTAAGATTAAATATAATTAAATTGTTACTCACTTATCTAATTAGTTCAGGTGTGACATAAAAACCCATATTTCGTGGGAAATATTTCTATTTATATTTTGCCGACACATGCATGTATCATCATATGTTATTTCGCCATACGACCTTTTTTATCTTTTATTTAGTAAAGGACGGAAAAAATCCTTGGGCTCCTTGCGGCAACTGCCACAGAATTGCAAATTCAAATTATATACAAACCACATGTAATTAAAAAATTCAGTTATTATAGCCTTTACATAAATAGCTAGACGGGTCTATCGCTTTGACAGTTGACCTGAAATTCGAGTACGTTCCATATAACTGATAGATTTGTGTTGGAAGAGTAACAAAAGTGCAAGATGTCTTTAATTTCTGCGTGAAAAACTAATTAGTCTTTGTAAAAAGTCGTGGCAATTAATAAGTGCTTAATATACAAGCAGCGAATAAAAAAAGAACATAAACCCCCCAAAAATCTGTTTGAGTGGGTTGGATAATGATGAGGCTAATGTATCCGTGTCGAACATCAATACTTGCCTTGAATGCATGCCGCCTGTTATGTTTGAGTTTTGGAGGAACTGGGTGAAAAGTCGTTTTTCGCGCGTAAAAAGTCTAGCGTAAAAGTCGTAATCAGTCGAAAAATACCCTAAATTTGCGGTTTTCCCTAAAAAGTAGTCGCCTGCTCTCAGCCGGAATGGGCGCTGCTAAGGAGGCTAGCTAAAAAAGCATTTTAATTTGTGGAATAATTTCTGTTCAGTAAAAAGCATCATAAGTGATGTCCAATGCTCAACTGAATATTTAAAATGCAATGTGTGAAGCCTGGTTTTTACTGGCGACATAATAATATTATAAGCAAGACAAAAATAAATTCCTTACAATTTGCTTTTTTCTACCATATAGGTAGCTTATAATACACTTGGAGTTGTGGTCAAGTGTCGATGCTTATTCAGCACTTCACTGCATTTATTCGTTGTGCATTTGCAACGTCAAATACGCTTGCATGCATTGTTATTGAACCCTTATATAGGGTTGATAACACAATTAAACTTTATATATGGAATATAAGCCATAAGGTAATATGTCCAGTTGGTATATACACCTAAAAATATGCGATAGGCTACATTGAAATTGTTGTGTGGGAAATATATTAATTCTTCAACAAACCCTAGAATATATTTATATATGTCCATCCTCATATCTAAACCATGCATTGAGATTTGAGAAAACAACTAATAGAACTTTACGTTCGAAATGAAGTGAACTACATATAGGCAGAGCGCAAAAAGATGTAAAGCCTATGCCGGAGGCAATTAATTAAAGGAAACGTTATAATTAACTGCATGATAACACGTCGTATTCTGACAAAAAAGTCGCCCATTCACACACTGCCAAAGACTTTGTGACTTTATAGTCTGTTCCCACGACGGTTATACTGCATGTATCTTGCGCATCGATCAGCGGTAGTTTTAGCAGCTTTGACTAAAGTCCTGTTTACACTACAAGCCTTGGTAAATGTGCCGCGTTTACACCCTTATATTATTTTTTTTGAGACTGGCTGAATTTGGTCTAGAATTTTGTAATAAATTTTGTGTATTTATATGTGTTGCCCGTTGTCCGCTCGTCCGATAATATCTCACTGTGCCCTGTGGACACACGTTGCCATAAAAACAAGGCCTGGGCCGTAAGTGTTTACATTCCCACAAGCGTAAGCCATGCCTAGGTCACCGGTTGTAGTTGCCCAGATTTCCTGACTATAGGTCAGGCCAAGACTAAACCAAAGTCTGTTTACACTTTACACTGCCAAAATGTAGGCCAAGGCCAGGCGAAGGCTTGTAGTGTAAACACGACTTCAAGAGAGAAATAAAAACATTATATTGATATACGATGTATTGCGTAGTTTTTGAAAACGAAGCAACGACGATATATATAGCATATTATGCTATATAGATATATTGCGTGAAGGTTTCTTAATTTAAGAAACAAACAACAACATATTATATTGCTATATGATATATTGCGTGAGTTCTTAAGAACGAAGCAACAACATATTATATTTATTTATTCATGTAAGGATGTTCCCCTTCCCGTGTTATGTACGCGTGTGGTCTCTTGACAAAGACTGAAGCAAAATTACGTTGATATATTGCGCGAGTTCTTAAGAACGAAGCAACAACATATTGTTATATTATTGATATAAGAAATGTCTATTAACTTGCATATTATTTTTCCATTGGATGCAGTTGATCTCTTGAGAAGGAAGGAACAACATATTATATTGATATATTGCGTGTCCTTGCGAAAATAACTATATTATATTGCTATTTTAAAACTATTTTATTACTATCATCCCTATTTTTATGCTATTTTATTCAAAGGCAACCCTATTTTAATTCTATTATAATATTTCACTAAAAGAAAGAGCCATATTTTATTAATGTTTATTTTATTTTATTCCTATTTTTATAGATAATAGAAATAAAATCGCATATTTTAATACTATTTTCCAGAGCCTCCGGGAAAAAATAGGTTTAAAATAGCCTATTTAAATTCTATTTTACTTCACCAGAAAGCAGTTAGAAATTAAAATGGATATAAAATATACTATTTTTAAACTCATAAAATAAAATAGGCTGTTTAAATCCTATTTTACATTGGAAGTTAAATGCACAAATTTCAAACAGGAATAAAATATACTATTTTAATCCTATCTTTCTTTCATAGTTAGCAAAATAACAATAAAATAGACTATTTTAAACATATTTTGCACGTGCAGAATATTACATAAATTAAAATAGATATAAAATATAGTATTTTAAGGCTATTTATTTTTCAGAATACGCAAAACAGAATAAAATAGACTGTTTTAAACCTATTGCACATTTTTAAAACTGCCACATTTTTCAAATAGGGATAAAATATACTATTTTAAACCTATTTACTTTCCCTAATTTGCAAAATATAATAAAATACACTATTTTAATCCTATTTTACATTTACTGGGATTCAGGATTACAATTTGCAGATATGTATAAAATAGTCTATTTAAATTAAAACATTCTGAATTTTCCTACTTAGCAAAATGAAATAAAATAGAACCGTATTTTATAGTTACACAGATAAGGGACCAATCATTAATAATGGAAGGGGGGGTGAGGGGCGGAGGGTGAGAAAAGGGGGAGGCTTCAACTGTTGCCTACACTGGTCATCCCATGCAGTGCTTCCACTTGCAAGGACATTTCTTTGCAACAAGAAATAAAATTTACTAGGAAACGGCAAGGAATTTTGTTTTCAGCAAGGAAATAAGGATATTATGTTATTTCTAATAAATCCTAAGATTATAGCAATTCCCAAGCAAATTCGCGTCAGGAAATGTCAAAAATCCAAATCCTACTCCTGGGGAATGGAAAATCTGAAAAATTTCTGAGACATGACCTCAAGCCTCCTGTTGCAGTTTTTTATAATTAATTTATAATTTATAATTGCAAGGTTCATGGTGTTTCTCACCCGAGAAATACACCGTCGTTCAGGATAAATTATTGTAATATCGGTTTTAAACTAGGTAAAATTCAACTTCATCAAAGGAATTTTTGTCAAAAATAAGGAAATTTTGAGCAGTTGGGAAGGAAATTATTTTTTTGAAAGTGGAAGTGGAAGCACTGAATTTACACCCCGCCATTTTTTATAATCAGTTCGTGATTTCGAAGTTACAATATTTCGCTCGATATTTCGAGCCGATGAAGCCTTATTAACCGTGAATAAACGAAGATGAAAGATCAGGGATGATTGAGTAATATCCAGGTAAGAATCTTGTTATGTTTTATGTATAATAGAGCAATTTTGAAAGGAAATATTTGCTATCTTCATTCGTGAATTTTGAGAATGCACGTGTTTGATGACCTTTGATGTTTCGGCTTAAAATTTGAATTTGCCGAGTCGATAAAGCCTTAATAAGCGAAGATGAAACATCCTGGATGACAGAGTAATATCCAGCTAAGAATCTTGTTATGTTTTATGTATAAGTAGTATAGGGAATGAGGTTTCTAGACCACTTTTTCGGCCCGCGATTCTCTTCACTTCCGGTCAGCGGTTTCGACCATTTCGACCAGAAACCGCAGGCTCAGTTTTTGGTCTAGAAAAAGGGCTCTTATTTTCAGTGGTCTTTTTAACTCATTTTTACTTGCAATATTTTTCAATCAATTTTCATCTAATCTATAAATTCTTTATTTACGATTTACCTAATATCCAATTACATTCAACTTATCACTTCCTGGTGTTCTTATAACTTGAACACCAAGTGACTTCGCTTTCTCACCCAACACCATTCTCAAGAATCCTTTTTCTTCTTTTGGTAGTGTGTCGTAGTTTTTCCTTAGATGATTCTCATCAGTTACGACTACCCTCAATGGTGTTTGTTTCTTGAACTTGAACCTCTTCAGTGGAATCACTACTTTATGCTCTGGTCTGGGAATACGTTTCTCTGGATTTTCCCAGGGAGGTCCTTCGTAGAGTTCCAATACTTTTTCAAGTCTGTTGTTTCCACTTTCAAGTTCAGCTCTTACTGTTACACAGCTCGGTTCAACTTTTTCTTCAATCACCACCTCAGCGTTCATTTCTCCTATTGAGTGGTGTCCGTACGCGTAACTTGTAACACCATCTTCAAGTAGGTATCTTTTGTCATCGAAACAGCTGAGTGTGATTTTCTTCAGTTCATAAGTTCCGATTTTATGTTTGATGCTTCGGATTGTGTTCATCTTATGTCTCATCAAACCTCTCGTCTTGATTACGTTCTTAAAGTTTTCGTGAGTGAGTTTATTTCTAATCACGTACTTTTTCACACCTTTCGCGGTCATTCCACCTCCACCACTTTCCTTTACGTAGGAGTACATTTTCGACCTTAAACCAACGAATTCAATCACTGGTACTCCTCCAGCTTCATCCTTAAACTTTCCAATTACCTTCTTATTATGAGCTGAGTAATATGGAGAATCTTTCGGATAATCTGAGTTGTCCCAACAGTCCTTCTCCTCGCCGATCCTCTTGAAGTCCTCATACACGTCATCAGTCTTAATCTCATACATTAGACTGTCGGTGTCTGTGAATAGAAGCTTCGACTTATCACCGTACTCCTTCTTAATCGTGTTGTAATGGAAATCATACATCAGAGTCTTAGACAAGTCCAAGATGCTCATTCCCACATAGCACGGTTTATTCAGAGTTAGAACTTCCTTCATTCTCTTTACCACAATTAAGTTCTCATTCATAATCCTATGTGATTGGAAGCACGGCGACGCTGTAAGTTTTAGGAGGTCGTTTTCCGATGACACTAATTTTACATCAACTCTCTTCCTCAAATTTTCCATAGTCTTTCCATAGATGGAATTATTCATAAGTTTGAAGAAGTTTTTCTCAAACGCATTCTTAGCTACTGACCGTTTTTGAGTATTGAAGTCAATATAGTTTTTCAGCCAAGTTGACTGCTTGAAGGAGACTGCTCTATGGACCTTCACAAGTTTCATTCCGAGTTCCATGTAGAGTTTCAAGTTACGGGCATGTAGGACGTAGTTCTTCCTAGGACCTAGTGAGTTCACCAGTTTTCTTACACCTCCAATCGTCAGCTGGAATTTCTCAGCAATATTCTTCGCGTAGTCCGACAACATTGATGCGTCAATCTCCTTGCTCTCTGGAGCTAGTGGATAACCATTGTGTAGATTGTGAAGTTCTTCTGGATATTCCATGTCAACCTCAAGGACCATACTCCTTCCGCTGTCTCCAAGGTAATCATCTAGGTTTATTTTATCAACTTCCTCAACCCACTCAAACTCACCGTTAGGTAGAGGCTGCGACATTGCCCAATCATATAAATTGTTGGCGTCGAGGTACATAAGGAACTTATTTTCAAGATCTTCGTCATACGTTTCCATGTACTTATTATTTGCTGTAGAGTGTCTGTGGGCAATGTGACTTATACCACCTCTCATTCCCTTCTCAAAGAACTGGAACATGTCCATATCACTTACCAATTCTATCTCCTCACCTGACTGTTTCAGGAAGGCGTCCCAACTTAGATAGTGCGTATGTATGTGCAGGGTCAAGCTTGTAATTTTCCAAGCAAGTTCTCCTGAAGTTTTCGAAGACATCTGCTAGAAGAAGAACGTCAGTTTCCAGGTAGAGATCGTGGTAGTCTCTCATGGTTTTCATCTTAAAGTGATCCCATACTTTTAGCGCTCTTTGGTAATCTTCTTCTTTCACCTCCAACTCATATAGAGATGAGTAGAATTTGTCTCTGCTTGGAAGACCCTCAACATTAAGTTTACTAATGTCATCCAAATATTCATATGGAAATATACCTTTTTGTGTCACAAGTTTGAAGTCCTCACCCGTCCACCTCTTGCCAACTATCCTGAAGTCTTCAGGTGAAAGGTTACTCACAAGTGCTTCCAAAGAAGAAGCCATGAACTGTATTGAGTCAATGAACACAAGACTTTTACCTAGTGAGAAGGAAATATATTTTTCCATATTATTTGGGACAACATTGATGTTCATCTTGAACTTTCCAATCTCCTGCATTATTAGATGGCTATCGTAACCTCTTAGGTTGTGGAAAACCACCGGAACTTTCCATGTGATTCTGTACTTCAGATTACACATATTATGGGCAGCTCCACGATACATTCCAGTTACATGATCGTGATCTCTCACTCTATCATCACCTAAGTCATTACCACATATGGAGCAGTTTCTTGTCATCCAGAACTCAACTTCTTGCTCTGGTGTAATTACCATCTTTTTCTTGAATATTTTGTTTACCATCTCCCGGCACTTAATAGACTCCTTCAGTACTGTCTTCAGAAAGACATTCGTGGCGTCTTCACCAACGTAACTTATGTATTCACCAGAGTACTGATCATCATAATGACACACTGTTTTTAACCCAAAACTACAGGCTTTGTGCGTTTGGTAAAGGTCTGTACTACTCTTTTCCTCGGGGCTTTCAGGATCAACTTTTCTCTCTTCAGGAACCAGCATGGACTCGAAGTCGGCGTATATTACAAATGGTGCAGGCATTGAGTTCCTGTGATTTTTGAACTTTATTTTCGTACCCTCACTCGGAAGCTTTGTGGCTTGAGTTCCATTTACCTCGAGACATGTCTCCTTATGTTTCTCCAGTGACTCCTTACTTACGCAACTATGAAGGCAATGCAGACAGAAGTGTTTCTTGTTCAAGTTTCCACTTACACTGAAGAGCATTCTATTTACATCCTTTATTAGAACGTAGTGGTTACCACCATCACTATCACCTAGTAGCAGCAGCTCCATATGTTCATCATATTTTACCTTAGAGTTCCTGATTGGGTAGAACTGCTTTTTGCCCTTATAGCCGAACACTGATATGCTTATACAGTTCCTTCTCTCAATTTTGTCGATATCGCTTATTTTCACAGGGAAGTCAATACCCTCATAGTCCAGGTTTTTCGCGAACTCCACATCTTGTCTTGTTATGGTTGTTGCTCTCCTAACTCTAGGTCTTACATGTCTCACATGACTCCACATGAAACATTTCTCGTCATCGTTTTTCATATTAATGAGACCACATTTTGGATTGCTAATGTCTGCGGGTAATTTCATATATGAACTACCCTTTAGAGGTTTATACATTGCAATGTTAACGTAGTGGCTTTCAATATTTAGTATAATCCAGTTTGAACCTAGGTTTTGGAATGTTTCAATTCTGGATAGGATTGTCAGCTGGTTTTGTGCTGCAGTGCTTTCGATATCCTCAAAGTTGGTCGCAGTTCCAGTTTTCGACTTGAAGTATATTGAATCCTTCTTTGTTTTGTCATTACCAATTTCCTTCGACATTCTTACCTTGATTGTTTCTGTATATTTTAGACCTCCCATTCTCTTCAACTCGTTCACTAGTATTCCCCTCACCACCTGCCTACTTGCTGTCATCTGGTCCAGTGGGTCCATATAGTTTGGAGTTATTGAGTAGGTCACAGCTGCTCCATTTGCGGCAGTTTCTATTTTCCTATAGGATGGCTTATCGAGGTATGTTCCAAATGGATCGATTTCATGTTCCTCAGGTGTAACCACCACAGGCTGCTCCACAACTTCCCTAGTCACCCTTGCAGGCTTTCGTAACTTTGGAGGAGGCACTGGTTTTTTAGTCCTTGGCTTAGGAACAGGTCTTTCCTTAGGAATTTTAGTTCTAGGTTTAGGAACAGGTTTTTCCTTAGGAAGAACAGTTCTAGGCTTAGGAACTGGTCTCTCTCTAGGTTTCCATGGAGTCACACCTTTTGGCACCTCAGGAGCTTTCCTTGTGGGTTTTTTGCTGAGATCCACTGTCACCGTGAACTTATTTGGTCCCACCTGTGTTATGACACTATCCGCAGGAACCGAGAGTTTTATCCGACCCTGGCTTATGAACCTTTCTGCGACAGTCTGTCTTCTAACCTTAGGTTTCGGTGTTTCGACTACCCTAGCCTTTGGTGGTCTACCTCTCCTTTTAGGAACCGTAACTTCTTGAGTTTCAACCACCTTAGCCTTTGGTGGTCTGTCTTTTCTTTTGGCAACCTTAACTTCTTTGGTTTCGGCTACCGCGGTTTTTGGTGGTCTACCCCTTCTTTTGGGGGATACTTCACCATCAACCTTGACCTTTGGTGATCTACCTCTGGGACGCTTGGGATTCCTGAGGTTTTCGAGCCTCTTCATCTCAGCGTTTACCTGAGGATCGTCTGTTCTCCATCTACCTCCCATTGTTGGTGGTAGACCTTCAACTCCTCTACTTAGTAAGCTTTGATATGCCTCCTCGACTAGTAAAGCCTTTGCCTTCTGCCTCTCGGAATATTTCCATGTTGGCATTATTCCTCTCTTACCCTTGTAGTTCAGTGGGAGTCTTCTTGGCCTTTTAGGATCCGCAGCTCTATCACCTTCATCAATGAATAGTTTCTCTTCCGCGAGGACGTTCTCTCCCTTGTCCTTAGGTGCAACACGGTAGAACTTATCCTCCGAGATTTTCTCCACTTCATCATCGAGATTTCCTTCGTAGTCGCTGTCATCGATTATCTCACTAAGTGCCATAAGTTGTTCAACGGTCATATCGTTCATGTCAAAGTTAGTCGCCATTTTTCACTCTTTCTCTATATACTATAGGTAAAAAAATAGCCCCAATTAAGGGGCTATTTAATTCATTAATTTATTTAACATTTAATTCATTAATTTATTAGGCGTTTAATTCATTAATTTATTTAACATTTAATTTAATAATTTTGTATTTTGTTTAATTTTATGATTTTGTATTTTATTTAATTTATAATTTATTCTTTAATTTCCAGTTATTATAATATTTACAATTTATAGGTTTCCATCCCAACTCGGGGAAGACTTTACCATATAACCTATCCTCAAGGATTTTCACAATTCTTTTTGTCCTGATGTCCTCAGGTGGATTTCTTAGCGTGATGTTGTTCATGCTGGCTATCCTTAGAAGGTAAAACTTATATCTAACTATGTTGCGCCCCCGCTGCAGTCTAAGCCTTTGTATACATTTTACGATGCTTCTGAACTGCTCCCTTATTATGTCCCTATCCCCTGAAGCAACATGCTCTAATAAGTGTCTCTCAAACCAACGAACCCTATTATGACAAGACTTCTTTTTCAGGTAGTCGTCCTTGTTGTTATTGTAACTAACATAGTATGTGAAGGTATTCATGTGGCTTGTACCACATTGTGTGCATGTATCTGCTCCATCTATTATCACAATAGACTTACTACCACATTCAACACATTCCGGTTCGTATGTATGTACAACCTTCATTTTACCTCTCACGTATTTCATAACTGCGGCTTCCAGCTCCTCAATGTTTTTTGCTCTCCTACCGACTCTTTCCATTTCATCAGGTGTTACCAGTGTCAGCCAATCCATTCCCTATACTATATGTGTTAAAATATTCTGCTTGTTTTTGTTGTCTGTTTTTACGTCTCCTTATTATTCTCAGTTCTACATATTTTTTAACCGCGGCCTCCAACTCCTCTATGGTGTCTACCCTTTTGCCGAGGGCTATTACCTCGGCAACGTCTACCATTGCAAGCCAGTCCATTTCTCTACAATATATATGTAAAAATTTATTGCCGTATTAAATTAATATTTTATAGTAATAAATAAGCTGCCCCTCCAACCACCCCACCTGCGATTAGGCCAAAGACTGCCATGTATTCTTCCATCTCTTGGCTAGGCTTGTAGTGATTGCTCAACTGCGGCTTTCTCGGCATAGCTTTGCGTCTCAGCTCATTTATTCTTCTAACGAGTTCAAGTGATTTATTTGTTGCATTGATATCCTTATTTGCTTCAGCCAACTCTGATTTTAGTTGGGCAATTCTATTTCTTCTATCAGTGACCTCTTCAAGGTACTTCTCTCTTTCTGCTGTTAGATTCTCTATCGCAGTATTATGTCTGTGGGCTTCCTTAGCATATCCATTCTTATCAAACATTTTGAATAGGAATCCTGCTCCAGCAAATGCAAATGCGTTAAAGAGTCCTCCTGCTACTGCTACTGCCATCGTATAGTCTTACTTAGGTTTTGAATGGATCATCTGGTAGGTACTTCTTATCTTTCAAGTAAGAGACCATTAGAGATGAGAGACTAACTGAGACAGCTAACTTTGCCATTCCTTTTACGTTCTCTGGGGTGCCTAGCGGTTCTTTCAGTAGTTTTTTCGATGCCATTGAAATACCAACTGCTCCTGCTGTGAGTAACACTGCGTTGTACACGTCCATAGTCATCTTTGATTCTTTACTCATCTTGCTATAATATATATTATGTTTAATGTGTTATTCTAGTGAATCTAACTTTGACTCGCCTTCTTTTCTGACTATTTTAACAGTCTCAGTTGCTTGCTTGGGTTCTGGTTGCCTGTTTTCCCTCTGATGCGACTTGAATGCTAACACAAGAGATACTAGGGCAATGGCCACCCCTATGTATGTGATTATACTATCATTGTTGGATGGCTCCTTTGGTTCCGCAAGTTTCTTTTTTCTCTTTTTTGCTATTTTACTGATTGCAGCTAACCGTTTTCCTGCAGCTACTCTCTTCGGGTCCTTCTTCTTCTCACTTGTTACTTGTACTTGGATTTGCTCAGTTTTATCTTCCATTATACTTGTAAGATACCTTAGGTTTAACCCAGTTGCGTCTCGTGAGATATCTTATGTTCTACTTGTGAGATATCTTGAATCTGCTTGTGAGACGTCTTAGATTTACTTGTGAGATAACTTAAATCTACTGGTAAGATAACTGGTGAGATAACTGGGATATACTTATGAGATGTCCTGATTCTACTTGTGAGATAACTTAGCAATAACTATGTTATTGGACGCTGCTAGCGCAGCTAGTACTTACCTGAACTGAACCTTGGTCTGTAAGTCTTTACGTTGTAGACAGGATTTTTCGTTGCAACTTTTCTTGGTTTCTTAAGTGAGAAGTACTCATTGATTCTGATACAAGTTTTCACTATATCATCTGACACTAGTGTATCATATCCCATACTCCTGAGTTTTATAAGCCATAGTTGCTGCCTCTCACTTAAAACTCCTGTGCCCTTTGGAGACTTAAATTCAATAGCAAATCCTTTATACTTTCCTTTTGGATTCTCAATGATAAGATCAGGTTGACCACTCCTGTATCCCTTCTTCCAAGCATCACACCTCTTCGACACTGTATCCTGATACTCACCTAAACCAGGTATTATTACCGCCTCTGGGTAGTTGTCCCTAATGTAGCTCACAACCGTAGTATGAAGGTCCGTTTCATTTAGGAGAATCATTTGATTGTACCTGAGTGACCTTCTATCTGGTAAATTATATGATCCCGTCTTTCGGATAGATGGAAGGACTTCTTTGAACACCCGACTCCTGAAGTCCCTTGCAGTGTTGAGCTCCGATCCAAAAATTAACTGGTATAGACCCTGTTCAGTGATCAGGATAGAGCTGGGATGGCCTTTCAAGGTGGGTCCCTCGGGGGCACCCCTTTGGATTGACCCTAGAGTGCACTTATCCTCTTCCCAAACATGATTTCTAATTGCTTTTTTCGTATTCGAGTACCCTAGGGATTCCGCCACATCTTTTGCATAAAACAGTACCCCCTCACCACTTTTCACAATTCTTACACTGACGTTCAACTCTCGGTTCTTGAATAGTTTTTCCATCTTTCTATATAATATATATGTAAAACTTTTTGCGCCTATTTTACGGTTATTTAATTCCGAATTATTTCTAGTTGCTGTATGTTTCCCACCCTAGGTTCTCCAAGTGTTGCCCTATCTTGTTCCAAATATAATACTACCACTTCCCCTTTCACATCTTACCTTAGTGGCAATAATAAGGGGTCCCTAGAGGGACCCCTTATGTAACCTTCAGAGCAGCATTCCCCCTGGCCCACCCAGCTGCCCCATAACTATATACATCCCATTATAAATAAAATATTACATCTCATTTAGCCTCTTGTATATCTTTACAACTGTTTTAACTGTGTCATCTTTAAATGTGTAAAAGTCGTGCTGTAATGGTTCCATTACCTTAAACTTAAGTGAGTACAGGTCCCTCTCGATTGCGTCAACTTTCTTCTCAATCCTATCTATCCTTTCCGCGCTTGTATTAGTTTTCTCAATTAACTCATTAATTATGGATTCGAATTCTGTTCCTTCCCAGGCGTTCTCCCACTCGTGGTCTGACATTCTTCTTCACTATGTAATAGGATATGTTTTGCTTCCTCGGATATTTCCTCAGTCTTTTCCTTCTTATTCCACTTGTGAGCAACCACGTGCTTAGCTGTTGTGCATCCACCTGATATGAGACCTATGAACGGAATGTTCGGGGATATCATTCTAGTTAGATATGATACGTCATCCTTTAAGAGCTTATCGCTAAGTAGTTCCTTTGACAGCTTCTTGGAAGATTCCACCGCATTAAAACTTCCTAGTATGGAAGCAAACTTTGAGATAATAAGTGTTGATAAGAAGTCACTTGCGCATGACATCCTCTGACTCTCATACTCCTGGTACAGTCTATCTATAACATCTTTGTTGGACTTTCTTATGAAACTTGCGGTCTTATCAATTACGCCGTCCCTAGACAGCTCTATAAGCTTGTTCCTTTTATGTTCAGTTTGCGACTTATCTGCGGTGGGTTTCGTTTTACTTGCGGTAGACTTAGTTTTCCTTTGCGGCGCCTTTGCGGCCTCCTCTACTTCTCCCATAGCCTTGGATATTTCTTCGTCGGATTCTGATCCCATCTTCTATATTCTATATACGCGGTGTTTAGTTTAATGGTGTAAGTATAAGGGTGAATAAGGAGTATATCCAATGCGGTGAACTTTTCATCTTTTAGTATTTTTGTAACCTCTGTAATTGTCTCCTGAGGAACACCACTTAGGTAATCATCTGTTATTACCTTCATATCCCTACGGCTAGGGTTGTAAAATGTAACTAACCTGGAAATGTTCTCCCTGAATGGTTTTGCTACTGAGGACAATTGTTGGGTAATCACAATAACAGATATGTTATAATGTCTTGCGGAGAACGCTAGGCGCACCAGTTCTGAGACTCTTTTCTTTACATCCCGACCTGCCGCACAGTCGTCAACTATAATGAGAGTCTGTGTACCGCGGAATATGGTGGACACTGCTTTTAGAACTAGGTTGGTCATTTCCTGGGAACATGGAATTTGTATCACCCCATGGTCACTTATATGGGACCAATTAATGTAAGTTGTATTCCACTCTATTGTTGGACATATAATCACAATGTAATCGAACACTTTATTGTACTCTGTTTCTAACATATTAAGTAAGAACTGAGTTTTACCACTTCCTGTCATTCCCACAATGAGCATGTTGAATGGTGGCTCTAAATTCATCTCTATGCTTTACCGTATGTGTGGACTCTAGTATTGAATACTTGATAGATCTCTACTGGCAAAGTTAAGTAGAGCATCTGATACAATAAAAATGTTGCACTGAACGTCTGCTGTTGTGGCTCTCTTATTAATTTCCATAAGTACTCCAGACTGTGTGTTAACAATCTTTCTACCTCCTCCAGTGGTGTCATCCTGTGTTGACCTTAGATCTACTACTAAGGCGAAACCTGTGCTGAAGAACTTACTGATTGACATAAATTCGTCAGCCATAGACTTCTCACACATAGGGCAGAAGAATCTTTTTGCCTCCTCGAAGAACCTACTTTTTGGAAGACCCTGAGAGAAAACTGCGTTTGGCACACCTTCAATGGTAAGGTTCACTTTATCAATGTTTGGGTAAATATACTCTTCAGAATCAGTTCTCACTCTATTAGTAAATAGAAGGACAATTGCAGACATGCTCTTTCTGGGGATATTTATGTTTTCATTGACAATGGTAAGATCCTTGTCCCAATTACTTGTACGCATGAGAGTTACGTGTTTGTAGGACAGCGAGCGGCCTGTTGAATACATCCTTGACACTTCGTTTGCAAGGGCGTCATTCTCAATGGTCTTGTATTCTAACTCAAGATTATCAAGTTTATAGTTACCCTTAGCTTCACCTCCTTGGGAAGTCATAATCTCATCTGATTGCGGGAGAGTCATGATGTACATAGGATTGTTATTCATGGAGAACGGTGTGTAGAGTCCATGGTCTGCAATTATTTTATCAATAGGTTTTCTCAGCTTGGAACCGTACACACTGTGGAGAAGTGCATCTGCTACTTTATTTGCATCACCTACCTTTACACCAGAGTCGTCACCTGATATTAGCTTTCTTAGGTTTTCACTTGCGAGACCCTGTTCCGTCATCTTATTTCTGTCGCCTTGTGTTAGCCATAGGTCTTTATAAATTTCATACAAACTCTCTCCTGAACAGTCATAAGCTGTTTCACCTGCTACTTTAACCTGAAGACGTTTTGCTATCAACTTAACTAGGTTATTGTTGAACCTGCTCTTTGTATTTGAATTTTTGAAGTCAAATAATAGTGCAAGTGAACCTGGAACTAAACAAGAGTCAGGCTTTAGTTTGGGGATGTTAATATATAGCTCTTCACCTGGGCTAATAGTCGTTGGATTGAAAGTTACAACACTTCTTGTTCTGAGGCCCTTTATGGACGTCATACGGCTCCTCCTGAAGCCAGGCTGCAGTTCTCTTTCTGTGGTATTCATACTTTATACAATATGTAATGTTTAGTTGTACTAGGCGTAGCCTGCGTAGCCGCTACTAGCGTAGCTGGTATTTGTACAGTAGTGCTGCTGCTGCTGCTGCACATACAATGATTATCCATATATTATCCGCTGCTAACTCTACTCCATCGGCTATCTTCTGGAATATAGGTGGTAGTTCTATTTGGTTGTTTACCAACTCACTGATCCGCTTATCGAGCTTTTCTGTTGTGTCACCTACTTTCCACAATATGTTTCTAGTTGCTACCAGTCCTATGATTATAGCTAATGAGGAAATTATAACAGCTGACAAGATGCCTGCATTCTCCCTTACCCATAACCTGAGCCTCTGCAGTCTCCTACGATCATCCCGTTTAATGAGATCCCTTTTTTTTACTTTGTCTCTTAAGTTGAGAAGTTTATTTAAGTTTGACTCTCTTTGGTAATCATTTGATAGCATTCTGACGTATCTCAGTTCTTCCGACTTTTCTTTGAAACTGTCTTCATCTAAATTGGATAGTATTAATTCATTTAACAGTCTATCTCCCCTATCCATTAGATCATCATTTGATAGTTTAGATAGGTCAGGGAATTTCTCAGCTAATTGCTCTCTCGTAAGGTCCTCGCTCAGTATTTTTCTTCTCCTCAGTTCCTGTACGTAATTAATTTCCTCGTTAATATCCTGGGTCTCCTCAGTAGTTTCGCTTTCCCTAAGATCCTTGTCAAGGTACGGTAATTCACCATCTAAAGTTTCTATATCCATTTCTTCATAGTTTGGATACTTTTCCCTCAACTCCTCCATTCTCCGGTCATCGTATTCCTCTTGGTGTTCCTCCATAGCTAATTTACTTTGTGTAATAGTTGTATACCATTAAAGCTGCAGCTATAGCTAATACCCATAAGTGTGACGCTAACCAGGTGATTCCTTTGGCTCCCCATGATAGCGCTGTTGCAATTGCGTTTAGGATTGGAACTAGAATTGGTCCTGCTTTCTTTGCTAAATTTGCTAATGCTTTCGCCACTTTACCGGTGGCTTTTGCTGTCTTCACAATAGCTCCCCTAGCATGGATCAATATAGCTGTAATTAAACTAGCTGTTGACACTGCTATCCCTACAAGTCCCACCTTTTCCTTTCCTACCCAGTCTATAAATCTACGTAATCTATTAATGTCCTTTAGTTGTGCCTCTCTTGCTTCCTCTACTGTTCTCTGCTCTAGTGTCATATCTCTAGCTTCCTTTAGACTATCAATTCTTTCTAGAAGGGAATTATACTCAGTTGTACCCTCGGCTTCAGTGGCACGTTCCACGGTTTCACCAATAGCTTCATTAAAGTAGTCAGCTTGTATTTGCAGCGCTCCATTGGGACCTGTTCTACCTTCTATGCTTGATCCATCAGGTGGGTTAAGAACACCTCTCAGTTCATTGTTTTCCTGCATTGTTAACCCTGGAAGATCTCCTAATTTTGCACTTATATCTATTAACTCAATGTTCTCACGGTCAGCGTATTCCTCATCACTGCTATCAAATTGCGGCTCTTCTTTAGTATCCTCATAAATTGATTTATCACTTCCAATTATATTGTCGGGATTCGTAGGTACCTCTTTTATTTTCTTTAGAAGGTCCTTATATTCTCTCAACGCTGGTGAGTCCTTTGAGTACACAGGTTTGCGGGTCTTACCACGTTTCATTATTTGTGTCCCACTTTTATCAATACCTTGTTCACTTCTAAATACCAACACCTCTGTGCCATCCTTGAGTGTTCTTACAGATGATCGTTTGATGAGTTCCCTAACATATTAATTCTTAGGGTCTAGTATTAGTCCCTCCTTACCCTTGATAACTCTTGTGACAGCTTGAACACGCTCTACTTGGTTTTCAAAATCTCTCTTTTTATTTGCTGTTGAAATCTTATTTAGTTTCTCTAGGCGGGCTTCTATTTCATCCCAGTCAGCGTCAAATGATTCGTTGAATGCATCTAAAACATCTGGAAGTAAATTGTTTGGATCTTCCACGAAGTTGACTTCTGGGACGGTTGTGCTTCCTGATGGACCCGAAATGTTCACTGTACCATCATTTCCTTCAGTGAAAGTTGTTTCTGCTATTGCACGTCTCTCCATAAGATTCTTTACGTAGTCCAGTTCACTTTTAAGATCAGTTATTACTATAGGGTCATCACCATACATAGCCTCTCCCTTCATCCTTGTATCTAACCTACTAAAAGCTGTCGTTAGGTCATCATAATTAAGGTCGTCATATTGAGGATACGTCTTTTCTGTCTCCTCCAACTCAGTATCATCGTAGTCCTCCATAATACTTTAACTTATGTTAGGGACTTGATGTCTCCAGCTGGTATCCAACTGTTAAATTTGTCATCATAACCTAACCACTTAACTAGGGCCATCTTTTTACCCTTCACTGTTCTTCTTCTTAGCACTTTCTCTATTCTGAAATCAGGTTCTCTTCCTTCAGCGCTATATAGTTCTTGTTCATAGAATCTACCAATTATTGGTTCATCAGCACTGTCTTTTATTGTATACGTGTTTGGATGACTGTGATACACTTCCGTCACAGTGAACAACTCCTCTGTGAAATTTGCTTCGTACCCTTTTGTGAACACTGATTTGTACTTTGAAATTCTAACACTTTCTCCGACAGCAAACTTTGGTTCTGACGGCTTGCCTAAATTGTGACTAAAAAGTGTCTTCCATACTTTAGTCCAATTGAACTCATTTACACTGTCTGGTGTTGTTTTAATTGATCTATTCACTGAACTGTTGTAATTATCGGTTAAGTCTTGAAGGACGTCTAACCATTTATATGTACTGGCACTGTAGAAGTACTTCCACATTAGAGATTTCAATGTTCTGTTAAATCTTTCCACAACTGCGGCCTTTTTGCCTGAGTAAGTAGAGAAAAACTCAATGTTATGTTTATTAAGCAATGACTTTACTTCTTTGTTGTAGAACTCTGTGCCTTGATCAAACTGGGCGAATTTTGGGTATTTACCAAAATGATTATTAAATTGCTCTAAAATGTTACTGACTGCGTCCTTCATTGATGTCGCGTTTTTCCTATACACTGGTACCGTAAATGCGTACCTGCTTAGTA